CCCCCCCCCTTCCCACCGACTTTATTACAGAAATCAAAATCGTTTGTAAACCTTGCGTCACCTGTACTTTAATGAAGATATGTAAAACTCTTGGGCGACCCACAAGAATATTCTTAACGCGATTAAAGGTCAGTTTCTGGCCCCCCCCCCCGGAAAAAAAATCCGGTCGGGGCCCACGCATATCATTTCATCCCAGCAGCGGGAAATGCAATGGCTGCCGCACGGGGAAAACCGAAATGTTTACAACTCGAGGTCCAGGAGCACCTTCCAATAACCGGAAGTCTTAAAATGGGTCTCTCCATCTACTTCTTGGTCGTCCCATGTCTCTCTGTATTTTCTGATTACATAAGTATGCTAATTTTGCAACCTGTCTGACTGAGTCCTGAAGGTGGATGGTGTCCCGACTTCTCCCGAATACAAGGTAGAGAATTACCGCTGTGATAACCGCCTCTACAGATTAAGGAGTATCTACCGGAAACTCCTGCCATACTGCTTCAGTGCTGCTCTCTGCCATGTTCTTACCCCTTCGTCCAGAATCCGCCACAGAAAAACGCCCACAGCTTTTCTGGCGACTCCACTGCATTACGGAAAACTGAATTTAGCGAACGGGCCCGTGCGGCAGGTGTTCACTGCGTAGCTTTCTCCGGAGCTTAAAAACTGAAATATGCGAACAGCCATTTCCTTTGACCTCTCCTGATTGTATTGGATGACAATTTGCATTCCGCGCTTACAAGACGACTGACTGTTACTGACAGACGTCAAAGCACCAAGACGGAAGTTTTCGCTGCTTAACTTGTGGGGAAACAATGGCTTACAGAATACAAGCAAGGAACAAAGAAGAAACAAAGATTGGCAGAAACAAGTAAAGAAAGAACATAGAGGCAGCGGTGCAGAAAACCATGGAAAGGAAAAAAGTTGATAGACCAAAGAAGAAAACAAAGACAGCTGAAAGTAAGAAGAAACAGATACTCGTCCCTTTCTTCAGTTATGCACCACGCCATGAACACATTCGACACAGTGGAGGTATAGATCCACGCATTCTCAACGTAGGCACTAGACTTAGTTGAGTCGCTTTACCCCTGGGAAACAACCTCCGCTACCAGTTGGACCCAGCAGGTGACTGTGTGGGCCCCAGAGCTGGTCTGGACCTTGTGGAGAAGAGATAAGCGCTTTGCTCCTGCCCAGACTCCACCTGGGCGGAAGTGCCTCGTCGTATCGCAAATCCCGGTATGATATCTCAAAGTAGGCCACGGCCACTTCCCATTACATGCCTCCCGCTTCATAATTCACTAATACTACAGAGTCTGGTCTCTCGCTGGTGAGTGGTGAGGCCCTTCACAAAACATCACTGCGCTGGCAAAACCAACATGAGTGGGATGGGCGGTGTATGTAGCATGGACGGAGGACCATACAAAATGGCGGAGAACCAAACATTATCTCGGCGTAGATGGGACGGCCATTTAAAGAAAAACGTGTGCGAGGGGGATGGAACGAGTAGGGTCCAGTGTCGAGTTCTTGTGAACACGGCGATGAACTTTCGGACTTCATAAAGAGTGGGAGCAACTTTTTCGATTAGCTGAGGAACAAGGACCCTGCTCCATGAAGTTGGTTAGACACTGAAACACAGAATCTTGTCTGTGTCTACATATCTTGAAGGGTGAGCCATAATCAGATTGTTAACAGAGATCATTAAGTCATCATGACGAACGTACGAGAGGCTTTCTTGGCGTGAGGTTGCGTGCTGAGAGATGTTCGCGGCAGTCAGCAGCGCACACAGAACGAAGGATATCGCGGAGAAACCAGGCAGGAGCACAAATGCCACAGGTCGAAGCCAGACAGTAGCGTAACCGGGTCAGCGCGGTGGGGACCGCTGGGTTCTTCACGTTGAGTTGCGTAATCTAGCCTTCGCACAATGGTCACTCATCCTGCCTCGAGTCCCCGTAATAATTACAGTACTTCGGGCTCCAGCAAATGCAGCAGTAGCTGGGATGCCTCAGTAGAGATTAGACTGGGGATCCGGGGTTCGGTTGCCGGTGGTCGCAACAGATGTTTCTTTCTACAGCGTCATGAGCGACTCTGGGGTCCACCCAGTCGGTATGGGGCCTCCTTCCTCCGGTAGCCAGTATGAGTTATGATGTCGTGTACTTTTGTCACTGGACACCATACATTCGAATGAACTGTGGTATGAGCGCCACAGGCTGCACACATCTGGTGTATCATGCGCCCCTATAAAAATAGTAAAGTTGTCCTTGTGCTTAACTAATTCAGCACTTCGACATGAAGGCGTATGGGGGAGTGGATGTACAGATCCACTTTTTCTTGACCTCGGCACTAGATGGGAGTGATCAGCTTCGCGCCCCTGCTGCTTTACCCCAGGGAGAGAGCCCCCCGTACCCATTGGATAGGAGGCTGGGTGAACCCCAGAGCCGGTCTGGACGCTGTGGAGAACAGAATATTCTTGCCCTTACCGGGACTCGAACTCTGACGCCTCGGTCGTCCAGCCCGTAGCCAGTCGCTATACCGACTGCGCTATCCAAGCTCTTTCCTACAGCCCTATTCCCAATCTAAATTATGTAATTATGGCGGGAGGACGGGTTCAATCTCAGAGCACTCCAGGTGGAATATGTGGAGGGTTTTGCTCCGTCAACATTTCGGTTCGGAAGCTGGTATAACAGGACAACCTGAGGCCGCAGTACCGCGCCATCCCACTCCTAAAATTATCTTTTTATTTCTCGGGGTGGGGTGAAACTGAGTCCACTTGGTACGTCCGCCACTAACTGGCCTATTGCATCAGTCCCGGATGATAGATGATGAATGTGGAACAGTCGGTGGGATGAGAATTGGCAGGGGAAACCTGCCCGAGTGTCACTTTGTCCACCACAAATCCAACATGTCCCGGTCTGGGCTCGAACTAACTGCTCGAGCTGTAACCCGAGCCACTCCTACAGCTAACCGGGCAGTTGCTGCAGGATTGCCGAAACCTCGTCTTGAAGGTTAAATAAATTAACTTCGCTTTCTTTAACCTCATAGCCTCGAGCAATGAACCAAGGCAGGTCTGGTAAGGACTCGGTTTATCTAGGTGCCTGCTCGGTCCGTTACGTAAGGGCCATTATTCCTTGTGACGCGCGTGGCAACAGACACAATCAGGAAATCAAACCTTCCACGTTGCGGTACTGACTGACCACGTTCTCCGCACAGACACGCCCTTCTTGCTGGACATTCATACTGTAATCTTCTGGCATATGACGCCGTTGAAATTCAGCCGACGTTTCGGGGGAAAACATCGCCTTCATCTTGCTCGTTGCCTCTTTCATGCTGGATTCTTGCTTGTCTTAGTCTTCAACCCTTAAGCTGGGACAGCATCCCCCTCCAACAGACTACAAGGGTGTTACACCCCAGAAGCTCGGGACACTGAGAATTCATTTATACTCCAGAGGGTTAAAGCCAGAGCAGCCCTGACTATGGACGTCGTTGTGAGTTCACTTCAAAGCCCGTTACTTGCTACGGACGACGAACGAAAGGTCAGACCTTCAAACCGTGTCGAGAGCGGACCGCAGTGATGGGTGTATCACGAACGTTATTACGGGGCTCTGCGTTCCCGATGCATAACTTAACAAAAGAAATTACTGTTGTTAGCTAACTGGTCTGGTGCAACCCCACAGCCGTGCTACATAACACCCGACATATTTAAGCGTGTTTCAGTCGCAAAGCACGTGGATGCTTATCTGGGTGAACTATCTTTGCAAAAATAAGCATTCCCGTTTCTGCTTCAATATGGCGAGCGGTGCCGGAAACATTAATACGATGGACAGTCTCAAACGCTTCTCGCGATATGAACACAAATTACACCCCTGCTGTTTACAAGAGATCCGGAACAGCTCAGTTACGGGTTGGACGACCGAGTGGTCGGTGTTCGAGTCCCGGTAGGGTCAAGAACTTTCACTTCTGCGTGTCATGTAGACCGACTCTGGGGTCCACCCAGCCTCCTATCCAATGGGTACCTGGGCCTCTTTCATCGGGGGTAAAGCGGCCGGGGCGTGAAGCTGATCACTCACCTCCAACTAGTGCCGAGGTCAAGAAAACGTGGATCTATACATCCACTCCCCTTATACTCCTTCATCGCGTAGTGCTTAATTAGTTAAGCTCAGGGACAACTTTACCTTTTGCCTTTGCTATTTAGACGAGTCGCACGGAACATGGAACATACGTGCAATTCTCGATAAAGTTGCTGTGAAGGATCACTTTTATTTACTTTTACGAAACCTGATTGTCTGTTCGAGTATCCGATGGTTGGGCCACTGTATTGCTGGAGCCCCACAAGAACTGTCTTGCGCAGGTGCGCATTATTCCGAGGGCCTGCGGACAACAAAATCCGTTCCTCGAAGTGCTGCACCATTTCTTCTGCATGGGCAGAATTCAGCTGAATTTTGCGAAACGGACCCGTCCACATCGTGCACAAAATGAACGCAGTCTCCTGTACTACTGATTAAACTTCTGCGAAATTTGTTGTTGAGGGCATGGACTAACCGCTGTTGTATTTCGCAGCTGGCAGCAGCCCAGCAGGTGTTGAGGGGTGACAGAGAGGCCGACCCAGCCGCCATCAATGCGCTCGAACCCCTGCATCACCACCATCACCATCACACGCACATCACGCGACTAGACGTGAAGTGCGACAGTAGCGGGATGTCCGTCACACTGGACTTCGACGGACCGTTCAGCGGGGTCGTCTACAGTAAGGGGTACTTCGACAACCCCAAATGCAGGTAACCATCTGCGCTAAGCACAAGCCTTCTTCAAAAGCTGGGTATTTTGGGGCTCTCCTGGGTTTGATGGGGCACGCGGCAGCGTAGTTGGTTGAGGCACTATGCTATAAGCCGGAAGTTCGCGGGTTCGAGTCCCGATGAGATGGAGTTTTCCAATTGACTTAACCCTTCCAGCCGCACTATGGCCCTGGGTTCGACTCAGCCTCTAACAGAAATGAGTACCAGGAATCTTCCTGGGGGTAAAGGGGGGCTGAAACACAAGGCTGACCTCACCGCCATCTGTGAGCCGACTGTCTAGAAAATGTGGGAACCTCAACATCTCACAACCGTATGGGCCTCCACGGCCTGTTACAGGAATACCTTTACCTTTTACCCGGGTTTGAGACTAGCTCTGCCAAGGTGCTCAACGAAGCGAGATTTCTTAGTTTAGGCTGTCAGCTGATGAAGGAAACAGAAACGATCTTCGATACGTTATTGCAAAAAAAACTGACAAGATAGATAGACAATGTCCATAACAATGTCAACAAGACTGCTGCTGAAATCATGGAGGATAAATACAGGAATTCACATGAAACCGCTGGTAACAGAAGGCTTCAGGATATTGTCCGGAATGGATTGATTGGACGACACTTTGAAGCGGGAGAACCCACGAGGGCTCGGACAGGAGAAACACGACGCATTTGGCACTGACAAGTTCTTCCAATGGAAGAGCCAGGCACTGGATGGAATCCAATTCGGAGCCAGAAACGGAGAAGGGCAGGACGAATATTGAATGCAGATGTGACGGAAAGGACGGTTCTCCGAGGCGGACGCAAACAATCTCGAGAGATGGAACCCTCATCGGCCCAAAAACAATCCATATTTTTACAGCCAGAAACCTTCAGAATAATCTTATGGTCGCTAAGATACTCATAAAATCCCCCGCCTTTTACGCAATCAGAAGGTTCATTGCCGTGTTCACAACAGCGTGCCACTGTACACAATTCTGAGCCAGACAAATGCAGTCAGCACCCACACATAATATTCCTTTGAGATCCATCTTAATGTTATCTTTTCATGTTTCCGAGGTGTCCTCTTTCCTTCGGACAGAAACTGTTTACGCATTTATAATATCTGCAATCCGTGCTACATGTTGTGCCCATCTAATCCTCCTTCATTTGAAAGCGGTAATAACACTTGTGAAGAGCTCAAATTACGTAATTTCGTCATCTCGGTTTCTGCAACTCAGCGGCACTCTTTTGTGTAGGCCCACTTTCATTCTCACTCCCCAACAAGCGGTTTCATTCACGGAGCAAACTTCCCTGCACTTACAACTCCCCCCCTCCACCTGCTCGCCACTTGACGTTGTGTACGCGATTAAAGCCACGCGTTGCATAACGACCAGGAAAAGAGGCGGCTATTTTTTGTAAACATAAATGAACATAATAAGTCCAACCCGACTACACGCAGCTGCGTCCTTCTTGAGGAGCTAACAGCATCTGAGCCAGATTAATCCAGTCCATGCCCTCCCACACCAGCAAATATGAGAGCGTTGTTCAAATGAAACCCGTTCTGGGAATATTCTGGGCGAGAAATCACCGCCATGGGGTGTTGTGGCAGGCAGACAAGTCACGCACTCGACGGCGTCTGCCTTCCGCCAAGAATTCCCCAGGCTGCTGATCGCGATCATTTTCGACCGGCCGTATTTGTCAGCAGCGCTGCGACCGGGTTTCATCTGAACAGTGACAGGTGTCTGACAGACACTCCTCTTATCACTGTCAAGTGATAACAGTTCGGGAGACAGTTACAAGGGAAAATGCATGGCGACGAATCGCATTTGTGAGGTGCTCGGTTCCAGTCTCGACTAGAACAACCACTAATGCCGACTTAGGATGATCGTGATTGTCCTTAGTCCCTCCAGGCAAATTCCGGGGTTGTGCCAAATCCTTTCTAGTTCATCATCCTGCCACTGGACGCCACAAGCTATAGTCTACCCACGAACAGCGTCGTAAAAAGCCACAAGAAAAATGAAGGTGTGTGGGGGAGTGGAGGTATAGAGGTGATTCCCCTCCATGTACAGTTGTTACGGAGCAAACACGGCCGTGGGAACGTGTGAAGATCATTACGCCGAGAAGTGCTGGCATTTCACGTTTCTAGCGATCTACACTTTGCAGTCGAGGCGCGACATGACGTAACTCCATCCTAATTGAGGTGCTGTTAGCAGCTCTCTGCCTGAACAAGTCCTCGAATTCGGGATTCTAACGAGGTTCCTTATCTGCACACTCTGAATATGGCAAGCTACTGTAAGACTGACACGAGACTTGATTAAGCACCTCTCCATGAAGACATTAGGGGAATAAAGGTAGAGTTACACGCATTCTTAACCTCGGCAATCAGTGGAGATGAGTAATCAGCTTCGGGTTCCGACCGTTCTACCACCACGAAGAAATTCTTGATTACGCCTTAGAAATAGGGGTTGGGGTTAGGTGGGACCAGGAGCCGGTTTAGATTTTGTGGAGAAGAGAACAAAGTCTTAGCCCCGCCGAGACTCGAACCCCAGTTCTTTGGCTGTCCAGTCTATAATCCGTCCCTGTGCCGACTTCGCTATCCTGTGTATCATGGACAAATCTTATTAATTAAAAACTGGGGCATTTTAGGAAAAGATTACAAAAATAGATCAAAATGTTCACACGCAGACCAACAAAATCTTAAGTTTCCTGTACAGCACGGAGACCCAGATATCCCGAGAAGCCGTACACTCTACGGACGACCCGGCAGGCTTCACTTTCAAGTAACATGTTCGAGGTTCACTGACTGCTGAACGAAGGTTTGGAGGAGGGGGGGGGCAGGCTTTACCCAGTCTGTATCCGTGTCCACAGCTAAAGGTGACATCACAGACATTACTGTGCGCCCGTCCGAGGTGGCCAGGGAGACAGGACCCTTCAGGATGCTGTTCGCCTTGGTCACAAGGCCGGCCGGTCATCGGTAGGGCAGCCCCATTAGCAAACCTCAACCACACACGGTCCTATGGCCAAGTGTGGCCAACTTTATCCTTTACAATGAGAGATGGTCTTATGTTGTCCATGTGTCCGTCCCGATTTCAGCCAACTGATAGATTTTCACTAAACTTGGGAGCGCCCATGGTCTCACGCAGCCTCTGTAAGGCCCCAATCACTATCCTGTAGAGGGCAAGCAGGATTCTATGGGCACTTCGATGTAGGATCCTACAGAATCCTGCAGGCCGAAGGAATCTAGTCTCCATAGAAAGTCTGAACAAGAGAGAAGCATTTTAGAGAACGCAATAAGGAAGCGGCAGCAGACACACATGTCCTCAATTTGCCTGTTAGCTGTGTGAAATATTAATGATTCATGTAAGTGACATTTAAAATTTCAGTTCCTACCTCACAGGAAACACTTGACGACCAACCAACCGGTTAATGCTGTTTACAGAAATAGCCGCTGCTTGATGACAGAACCATACGGGACACATGACTACACTGGGTGGGAAAAACGTAGAATTTGAAATGTCGAAGCCGACCGCACACGTAGTTACAGCTCTGCTTTACAGAATCACACGTTTACTTGCACTAATCACGGGGCTTCCCGGAGATTTACACTGTCGAGATTAAAACTATGGCGTTAGATGTGAAACCAATTCCATGTAACAGAATCCTTCTTGAGGACGCGGCACTCGCATCGGGACATGACAAATGCATACAAAATTGTACAAAACCTACGGGTTGAAGCAGGGTGAGAGGGTATGGACGGCATTCACCCGCCCTCAACATAGGCTCCAGTGCATACGGTAATGAACCTTCTGGTTGCACAGAAGGCGAGCGAATATCCCGAATATCTGAGCCAGCATCAGCTCCTCAATAACAGTTAATAACTGCAAACACAGGCTTGATGGCCGAGCTGACACTGAAACAGAATACCAAGTATGCACTTCCCATGACGACTGAAAGTACTGGCCAGCCACGTCAATGCGACACACAAGTCGGACGTTTCGGAGACTATCTGCAACACAATGATGCATAGTTTGTATACTGTCTGAGCTATGTGATGATTGAAGCCATCTTATCTGCATACAAAGTGGCGTCTTGCGTCACGACCTCCATACACTTCCGTACTTAGGGAAACACCCCATTGTTCGTGTGTCCTTGAGAGCACCTAAATTCTGCAAATTTTACTTCCTGTCTCTGTAACCAGCCAAGTGCCGGGTCAGAGATGAAGCCCGCAGCTTACAGAGCCAGGAAGTGATACTGTGCTGCCTGGTCAGGGTTATCCCACATCGTACACCTCAGCGGGTGGTGACAGACGAGTATGGCGCAATGGTGGAAGTGTGATTTACATGGGAAAGAGGAAGAAACTGCATCAGTGCCACTACATCCATCAAGAATCTCGAACGAAATTATTCCGAAGTGGAGATGAGACGCCAGCGCTTAAGCGTCGTGTTAGGAAACAGGGCACTATTATGATGCAATTCACATTCCACAAATGAACGGCAGTAAACAGTTTAAGTATTGACAAACGCATGAAGCAAGCGGGGTGTACTGAGGCTGACAGGTGTCTGTCTGTGTGTGAAACTGGCTGCATCCGTGCACCACATACAAGCACGGGCAGGCCGACCGGCCGGTACAAAGAATCTCACACTTCACATACGCACTGTGCCATAATCTCTCCATATAGGCTATACCAACATTTCACACTATCCGTCAAGTCCCGCATCTCACAATCTCATGGCGGAACCTCGGAAAAAACCGTTACTTTTGCTGTTTTATCTCTACATTCGAAAAACATTTGGGCCGTGATGACTGCTAAGTAGTTAGTTAGTTAGTTATTGGAGAGGGTGGGTTTCCCCATGCACTTAGGCCTGTATTGGTCCATTGTGCTTCCATCTATGATTTCTACCAGTCTCTATATCCTACCGGTACTGGTGCTTACCATCAGTCCCGCCCAGCCAGCGAGACCGGCTCTACTAGCTGAGAGGTATCTATAATGCTTCCCCCATCTACCGGAGGTATTAGAGACTGCTGTTGGGCGGGAAACGTCCGTAATTTGGCTCAGTGACCTCCTTTGGAGGTATGAGGTTCTTTTACGTGCCGTAAAGCTACGACACGGGACCCACGGCTTAAAGTCCCTCCCGGAGGACTTGTTCCCTGAATTTTTCCGCCCTTAAAAATTCGACGACCTCCGCCGGGTATTTGAACCCGCGTACTACGAGTCATGAGGTGGGAACGTTACCTCTAGACTACGGAGGCCGCTATGACTGCTAAGTAACTCCATGCAGTCGAGTTCTTCTTAAGAAGCCGGCAGTTGCTCAACTGCTCAAGAAATTTCCAGCATTTTATGGAACGCAGAACGCCACTTGTCCCTGCCCTGAGCCAGTCCATAACTCCATCCTATCTCTCAGATCCATTTTAGTGTTATCCTCCCATCTAAGTCTAGGTCTTCATAGTGGTGTACGCACACCAATACGTGCTACATGCCTCGTCCATCTCACCTACCTTGACCTTATCAATCATTTGGCGAGGAGTACAAGCTAAGAAGTTATGGATCCATATTAGGATATTCCAACATGAGACTATTTAATGAAACAGCCTGAAGATGGTCTTAAGTATGGGCCGAAACATGCAGCAGTTATTAAATGAAACCAATTTTTTTATTGTTGTGTTGACGGCTAGAATAGGGGGGAAGGCAAGACAAAATATTTCTCGAAGTTTGATTACCACATAAACTTTCAGGACCGTATAATAAGTGCCGTTTGAGTGGGTCCAACCTCAGAAGTTTGCACTAACAGCAGTTTTCACCAGTGCCATGACGTTAATAAGAATGTTAATGAAAATCCGTCAACTGGGTCAATATGGATTAGGAAAGACAAACATAAGCGTGTCTTGCCTTATGAACATAGCCGAGATGATGCTACAAACTAGAAGTCAACGTGTTACATAAATTGGTTACACTACGCCTTACAATGCCATCCACTTCGCTCGCAACACTGTGGAATCCTGCCGTTATTGTAGCAGCCTCAGTAACACTCGAAGCACTTTCACTTTCCTGAGGCGCGCAGCCCTGATCGTCAGACGCGAGAGGTTCAAAAATGTCAAGGTCCAATTAGCCAACGGAGCATTCCCACGCGAGACTAACATTTCACAGGCGCGTACTCGGGACAGCTCAGTCAGCATAGTGACTAGCCTACGGGATGGAGGTCATTTCTGGAACGGAAGGCCCACTCCTCCGGGAAGTTCACCTCCAACCAACGCCGACGTTAAGAATATGTGGAGAGATACCTCCACTCGCTGGCATGGTGCTAAATTAAACGTAGAGGCAACTTTACTTTCAATTGATATTCGCAAATGCTTATCATTTACGCGGCTTATCCATGTACAGAACAACAATAAATTAAACTGTGAATCTATAGCAAATATGAACTGTTCAGACGTCAGACACTCAAATCCAGGAACTATACTCAGGCTACAGAAACATGTCCCCATGGGCAGTAGCTTCCACTTCCGTCAACTTCCGGCGCTTGTCGCTCGAGAAGGCTATCACGCGACTATGACTGTGATGAGAACGGTCCGAGTGAGTGGGGTTCACACTCCGGCACACCGAAGTGTGAGTCCCTGGACCTTCCCTAGGCATCCCCCTCAAGTTAATCTTCCTATAATCCTATAATCCCTGTCTCCCATTGCTACAGCTTGCATCCTACCAGGGGGGGGGGGGGACAGAGGGAAGCGTGCAGTCTGTTCATGTTGCAGGTACGTCCAGCCCGGGGGCGCGAGGAACTCCTACACGTTCGTCATCCCGCTTCGCGACTGCGGTACGGCTCCGTCTGGTGGTTTCGGCCGCACGGTCGATAACATCATCGTCATACAGACCGACGACACAGTTCAGGTCAGTCCTTATTGAACACCACACTCCCTGCTTTTATGAATCTCAAGGTTCAGTCTGTGTTCACAGGAGCACGCCACCGATCTCAAGGTTCAGTCTGTGTTCACAGGAGCACGCCACCGGTCGCAATCCTGAGCCAGATCTCAAGGCCACATCTTCTTAAGATCAACTTTAATATTATCATAACATCTACGTCTTGGCTTTCGAAATACGTTTTCGACTTTAGGTTTTTAGACAAAAAGTATGGAAGTCTGCTTAAACGGCAACGCTCTAAACTTGTATTCAGGAGGCACCCGGTTCGAATTTCGGCCGGGGCACCTAATATACTGGAGGTTTTCGTGGATTTCCCCAGTCCGCCTAGAAGAATGATGGGACAGAACCTTATATCGGGTCACGACCGTTTCCTTTCACATCCAATCCGATCCATTACTCGCTAATAATCCTACAGTTAGACGCTATGTGGCTTGAGTAACTGACAGCGTCGCTAAATAAACAACAAATAAAAAGAGACATACAAAACCTGTGTACACATTCCTTATTTTTCCCATGGGTGCTACATGCTCCGCCCAGCTCGCTCTCCTTTACTTGGTGGAGATAAACATAAGATGGGCTGATGGGGGCCGCGCATGCGTGACACTTGTGAATTCATTCTGCAGGAAATCTGGGACACAGCGAGGAAGATATCATGCGCGACCACAGATCGCAAGGAAAAGACTGTCATCTTCCAGCCATTCGTGGTGGACATGCTGGAGGTGGTCACCGTGCCCGTGTCCACAGGAACCGTGGACTGCTGGATGGACATCCAGCGGGGGCAGTTTCCCAACGTGAGTACAGGACGTCAACGGACGCCTCTGCCCTGTTGTGTAGTCTGACGCCACCCACATTTCAGAGTAACCTCCTGCGCCTTCTTCAGGGGTACAAATGTAAGCCGAGCGTGAAAAAGTGGCCCCCAGTCCTCCCTCTCTCTGCATTCGCACCACTCCTTTGGCGCTTGGTTTTCTCTTCTATCGTGAAGATGGAGGCAGCAGGGTCCTTCGAAACGTTGATAGCTATAAACTATGCTATACTGCGGTAATGTTCACAATCCTGACTTTCTCTACCTCGCTCTTGGCCGATATGTTGCATTATGTCTTCACGTGAGGGATTCCTAACCCGCGACAGGCAGTTGTTTCGTGCAACAAGTGTGTTTTATAATTCAAAATTCGTATAACCTGTACAATTAAAATAGATACTTCATAAAATTAACATAATTTTTAAGTGATAATAAAAATAAATCAACATACTTTTGAAAGAACCGTACTGAGTAATACATTAAATTGTTCATGTTATGAAATCGGTATGCCGGACAAAAAAAAATCCCGTTAAGATTCATTAAATTATCGTCAGTTATAACAAGGAGGTCCCCGGGTCCAGAAGAAACGGTGAACGTGGACCAGGTCCTAACACTTGAGCCCGGAGCACATCTAAATAATATATAAAAGTCAGTTCGTACCTCACAGGAAACACGTCTCCACCACAAGAATGCAGTTAATGTTTACGAAAATAACCGCTGTTTATTTGAGAATAGTACGCAGCACATAAATACATTGTGTCGACAAAAAGCAAAGATTTGTAATGTTAAACGAGATGGTACGAACAGTTACCACACTTAGCCTAGAGCCAGTATTAATGTAAGGTGTGACTTACTCCAGACGGCGCCCATCAGCGAGATTATCAAGATAGGCGAGACGTTGACCATCCTCGTGTACATAAAGGACAACGAGAACCAGTACGACATCCGCGTCCGGGACTGCTGGGCCTACGACGGGGAAGATTACGAGTCCCAGGACACACACAAGCTGCAGCTCACCGACAACGAGGGTTGTCCAAAGTAAGGCCATCTGCGAATAAGAACAAACGAAATACGCATTACTAGTAATTACGAACTGTTTGGTAGATTTTTAGGCGAACAAAATAACATATATTGTCTGCACAGCTCCGACAGTAAAGCTCCTCTCCCACGGTGCTGAGGCATCTCCGTTTAAATCGAAAAGCCAGTGACCAGACCAAGGTTCGAAACCAGGATCTCTGGAAGATGAAACGCAGTATGAATTTCAATAGGAGCCTTGTGTGTTAAGGCGCCGCGTCGTCTGGAAGGTAGTGACAAATGTTTCAGTGAGTGGCAGAGCGCCAACAGAGCCAACAGTCAGTTTGTCTGTGTGTACGTGCAATTGAGTCACTTCCCAGTAGTAGCGAGACCCCCACCTCTAGTCGAGGCCCCATTTCAGAACACGCGTTAAGTCTTGGAAAGAATAAAAAATATGGTCATGGATCTCGATACCAAGATTGACTTTGCTGACTGTTAAATTGGTGCTGGCCCTCGCCAGCACAGGAGTTATTGGTTCCGAGTCCCACGGGACCATGGCCATATTTTGCTGTCTGACGGCTCTGGGAGCCTTCGGACAGCCCGACTGACGAGGACGACGGATCCTGAGTTACACTTTTAGCAAGGCTGCGCCATAGCTCAAGCGGTTAGCCGCTCGCGTTCCACCGCGGCGGCCCGGGTTCGATCCCGGGTCTGGTCAAGTGGGATTTGTGGCGGACAAAGTGACGATGGGGCAGGTTTTCTCCGAGTACTTCGGTTTCCCCTGTCAATCTTCATTCCACCACTGCTCCATACTCACCATCACCTATCATCTGGGGCTGGTACAATAGGCCAGAAGTGGCCGCAGTAAAAGGGACTTAGTCCCACCCCACTAACTAGCAATATACTGTTAGCAGCCGCTACCTACCAACGACTAATGGACAAAGAAACTTTATGTGTGCTGCAGCTGCAGTGATCTACACAGTGCAACTCAGAGAGTCCGTCATAGGTGTTTGTAGTTACGAGTTATAAACGTTCAATAAATCCAATTTTGAAACCAAACCCCGAGTGACAGCAGCTCCTTATATTTCCAAAACAATGAAAGGACACGCGATTAGTTCTTCATATATGTTCTTGTTTAAATGTAAAATCAGTTAATGTATATAATTACCACTGTGATTTACGTGGGATAACACTGTCAAAATAGGGGTTTATGGTTATTTTTGCTATTTGCACAGGAAACCAAAACTAATTGGTTATTGGAGGAGAAGTTCTGAAACCGGAACGTCCGGGGCAAGTATCATTGCGTACAACAACATCACCGCCTTCAAGTTCCCAGACAAGATGCAAGTCTACCTCACGTGCAACATTGAGGTACGTGACACTCAACTGAACTCACTTCAGTCGGCAACTCATATCGTGTTCCCGAGTTACTTTAATTTTATCTAAGTTTCCAATTTCCGGTTACTATGGAAGCAAACAGAATTACTGACTACCGGTATGTAACGCCGTTCAGTCCGGTACGAACTTCTCGAACGTATGTGCAATGTTAGGCCCCCCATACACACACAGTTTGGCCTTCCGATCGACCTTACAGGCAAAACTTTCACAGTTTACCCCCTCCTTTCCTCCCCATACACGCGCAGATAAAGCGGCAGTCTTCATGCCACAATCATGGTCTTCCAGCCTATAATGTTGAGTCAGACACGTCACGTGCTACGGTCCTACAGGCAGAACTGACGGACTCACGGGTTTTCCACAGGCCAACAGTCCAAACGATTGGCCGGCCGGCCGGACCACACACGTCAGTTTTGCCTTTCAGTCTTCAACTGTGAGGGCCGAACTGGAGACCAAACTGTGTGTGTATGGGGGCCCTTAGGCTTATGCCCTGAAAATTGAAGCAGCCCGTCCTCCCGAAACACGTCTCTCAAATAACATACCGTCGCTTCTGAGAAGGCAACGTGACAAAGCTACATGACAAAGAAAAGTGCAGCAGTGGTTGAGACAGCACTATAATTAAGGCAATGTAACAACACACACACACACACGCCACAAACCTTATCTCATTGTACTCATTCAAATACAGAGCAGTCAGTTGGCAACGAGCACGTCTAAAAACATCTACCAGAACCTGCAACGTAACGCGGATATTGGTAAACATTTGTAGCTCAGTCTGCTCGCGGCGGTGACAATCAGCTACCACTTCCTGATAAGAGCAGGCAACATCTGTTTCAGAGAACTGTCACCATGTGAGAGAGCAGGCTGCAGGTAACCCAACTGTGTTTCGTGTCAACAGATATGCTACGGCGAATGCGAGGGCAGATGTGAGGGGGGGCCTGGAGCAGCGATAACGTCCTCCACGACACCACCAGCAACATCACCAACCCCGGTCTGCTACCCGGGTAGCAGAGACCCAAAATGTGTAACAACCACCGTCTGTTACCCAGGCAGCAGGAATCCTGCATGCGGCCCTCAGACACAACCCCCGCAAACAGAAACTCCTATTACACAACCGCCAAGATGTTACCCTGGCTCTACAGATCCTAGATGTCCTAGGCCAACACCGCCACCGACTACAGAACCGCCCAGATGTTACCCAGGATCTACAGACCCTAGATGTCCTAGACCAACATCTCCACCCACTACAAAACCTCCCAGGTGTTACCCAGGATCTAGAGATCCTAGATGTCCTACACAAACACCAACACCTCCACCGACTACACAACCTCCCAGATGCTACCCCGGATCTACAGATCCTAGGTGTCCTAGGCCAACACCACAACCCACTACACAACCGCCCAGATGTTATCCAGGATCTACAGATCCTAAATGTCCTAGGCCAACACCTCCACCCACTACACAACCGCCCAGATGTTACCCAGGATCTACGGATCCAAGATGTCCGCAAACCACGCCTAAACCACCCACACCACCGCTATGTTATCCCGGTTCAACAGACCCAAGATGTCCGAAACCAACGCCGCCTACAACTACCAAGCCGCCCCCAACATACTTGCCTCCAACTACACAACCGCCCAGGTGTTACCCAGGATCTACAGATCCAGGATGTCCTAGACCAACGACGCCACCAACTACAGAATCTCCAAGATGTTACCAAGGATCTACAGATCCTCGATGTCCTAGGCCAACACCTCCACCGACTACAGAACCTCCCAGGTGTTACCCAGGATCTACAGATTCAAGATGTCCTAGGCCAACTCTGCCTCCAACAACACAACCGCCCAGGTGTTACCCAGGATCTACAGATCCTAGATGTCCTAGGCCAACACCGCCACCGACTACAGAACCGCCCAGATGTTACCCAGGATCTACAGACCCTAGATGTCCTAGACCAACATCTCCACCCACTACAAAACCTCCCAGGTGTTACCCAGGATCTAGAGATCCTAGATGTCCTACACAAACACCAACACCTCCACCGACTACACAACCTCCCAGATGCTACCCCGGATCTACAGATCCTAGGTGTCNAGCCTACAACTACAAAGCCGCCTCCAACATACTTGCCTCCAACTACACAACCACCCAGATGTTACCCAGGATCTACAGATCCTAGATGTCCTAGGCCAACACCTCCACCCACTACACCACCGCAAAGGTGTTACCCAGGATCTACAGATCCTAGATGTCCTAGGCCAACGCCGCCTCCAACTACACAACCACCCAGATGTTACCCAGGATCTACAGATCCTAGATGTCCTAGGCCAACACCTCCACCCACTACACCACCGCAAAGGTGTTACCCAGGATCTACAGATCCTAGATGTCCTAGGCCAACGCCGCCTCCAACTACACAACCACCCAGATGTTACCCAGGATCTACAGATCCTAGATGTCCTAGGCCAACACCTCCACCCACTACACCACCGCAAAGGTGTTACCCAGGATCTACAGATCCTAGATGTCCTAGGCCAACGCCGCCTCCAACTACACAACCACCCAGATGTTACCCAGGATCTACAGATCCTAGATGTCCTAGGCCAACACCTCCACCCACTACACCACCGCAAAGGTGTTACCCAGGATCTACAGATCCTAGATGTCCTAGGCCAACGCCGCCTCCAACTACACAACCACCCAGATGTTACCCAGGATCTACAGATCCTAGATGTCCTAGGCCAACACCTCCACCCACTACACCACCGCAAAGGTGTTACCCAGGATCTACAGATCCTAGATGTCCTAGGCCAACGCCGCCTCCAACTACACAACCACCCAGATGTTACCCAGGATCTACAGATCCTAGATGTCCTAGGCCAACACCTCCACCCACTACACCACCGCAAAGGTGTTACCCAGGATCTACAGATCCTAGATGTCCTAGGCCAACGCCGCCTCCAACTACACAACCACCCAGATGTTACCCAGGATCTACAGATCCTAGATGTCCTAGGCCAACACCTCCACCCACTACACCACCGCAAAGGTGTTACCCAGGATCTACAGATCCTAGATGTCCTAGGCCAACGCCGCCTCCAACTACACAACCACCCAGATGTTACCCAGGGTCCACAGATCCCAGATGTCCTAGACCAACACCTCCAACTACACAACCTCCAAGATGTTACCCAGGATCTACAGATCCCAGGTGCCCTAGGCCAACACCTCCACCCACTACAGAACCTCCCAGGTGTTACCCAGGTTCTACAGACACTAGATGTCCTAGGCCAACGCCGCCTCCAACTACACAACCACCCAGATGTTACCCAGGGTCAACAGATCCCAGATGTCCGCAAAGCACGCCTAAACCCCCCACACCACCGCTATGTTATCCAGGTTCAACAGACCCAAGATGTCCGAAACCAACGCCGCCTAAAACTACCAAGCCGCCCCCAACATCACAACCACCCAGGTGTTACCCAGGATCTACAGATCCTAGATGTCCTAGACCAACGCCGCCAACTACACAACCGCCCATATGTTACCCAGGATCTACAGATCCTAGATGTCCTAGGCCAACGCCGCCTCCAACTACACAACCGCCCAGATGTTACCCAGGATCTACAGATCCTAGATGCCCTAGGCCAACACCACCACCCACTACAGAACCTCCTAGGTGTTACCCAGGATCTACAGATCCCAGATGTCCGCAAAGCACGCCTAAACCCCCCACACCACCGCTATGTTATCCAGGTTCAACAGACCCAAGATGTCCGAAACCAACGCCGCCTAAAACTACCAAGCCGCCCCCAACATCACAACCACCCAGGTGTTACCCAGGATCTACAGATCCTAGATGTCCTAGACCAACGCCGCCTCCAACTACACAACCGCCCACATGTTACCCAGGATCTACAGATCCTAGATGTCCTAGGCCAACACCACCATCCACTACAGAACCTCCCAGGTGTTACCCAGGATCTCTAGATCCTAGATGTCCTAGGCCAACACCTCCACCCACTACACAACCACCCAGATGTTACCCAGGGTCTACAGATCCAAGATGTCCGCAAACCACGCCTAAACCCCCCACACCACCGCTATGTTATCCCGGTTCAACAGACCCAAGATGTCTGAAACCAACGGCGCCTTCAACTACCAAACCGCCCCCAACATACTTGCCTCCAACTACACAACCGCCCAGGTGTTACCCAGGATCTACAGATCTAAGATGTCCTAGACCAACGACGCCACCAACTACACAACCTCCAAGATGTTACCCAGGATCTACAGATCCTCGATGTCCTAGGCCAACACCTCCACCCACTACACAACCACCCAGATGTTACCCAGGGTCCACAGATCCCAGATGTCCTAGGCCAACAACTCCACCCACTACACAACCGCCCAGGTGTTACCCAGGATCTACAGATCCCAGATGTCCTAGGCCAACACCTCCACCCACTACACAACCGCCCAGATGTTACCCAGGATCTACAGATCCCAGATGTCCTAGGCCAACACCTCCACCCACTACACAACCGCCCAGATGTTACCCAGGATCTACAGATCCCAGATGTCCTAGGCCAACACCTCCACCCACTACACAACCGCCCAGATGTTACCCAGGATCTACAGATCCCAGATGTCCTAGGCCAACACCTCCACCCACTACACAACCGCCCAGATGTTACCCAGGATCTACAGATCCCAGATGTCCTAGGCCAACACCTCCACCCACTACACAACCGCCCAGATGTTACCCAGGATCTACAGATCCCAGATGTCCTAGGCCAACACCTCCACCCACTACACAACCGCCCAGATGTTACCCAGGATCTACAGATCCCAGATGTCCTAGGCCAACACCTCCACCCACTACACAACCGCCCAGATGTTACCCAGGATCTACAGATCCCAGATGTCCTAGGCCAACACCTCCACCCACTACACAACCGCCCAGATGTTACCCAGGATCTACAGATCCCAGATGTCCTAGGCCTACACTTCCACCCACTACACAACCGCCCAGATGTTACCCAGGATCTACAGATCCCAGATGTCCTAGGCCAACACCTCCACCCACTACACAACCGCCCAGATGTTACCCAGGATCTACAGATCCCAGATGTCCTAGGCCTACACCTCCACCCACTACACAACCGCCCAGATGTTACCCAGGATCTACAGATCCCAGATGTCCTAGGCCAACACCTCCACCCACTACACAACCGCCCAGGTGTTACCCAGGATCTACAGATCCCAGATGTCCTAGGCCAACACCTCCACCCACTACACAACCGCCCAGATGTTACCCAGGATCTACAGATCCCAGATGTCCTAGGCCTACACCTCCACCCACTACACAACCGCCCAGATGTTACCCAGGATCTACAGATCCCAGATGTCCTAGGCCAACACCTCCACCCACTACACAACCGCCCAGGTGTTACCCAGGATCTACAGATCCCAGATGTCCTAGGCCAAAGCCGCCATCAACTACACAACCTCCCAGATGTTACCCTGGATCTGCAGATGCCAGATGTCCTAGGCCAACGCCGCCAACATCTACAGAACCTCCAAGATGTTACCCAGGATCTACAGATCCTAGATGTCCTAGGCCAACACCTCCACCCACAACACAACCGCCCAGGTGTTACCCAGGGTCTACAGATCCTAGATGTCCTGAGGCAACACCACCAGCATACCCAGAACAGCCGTCGTGCCTTCCTGGTTCTACTGATCCCCGATGCTCGTCTCTGCCACCAGCAACATACCTGCCTCCCGTACTCACGAAACCACCGGGTTGTTTTCCAGGAAGCACGGATCCTAGGTGTCCTAGACCAACGCCGCCACCGACTTCACAACCGCTCAAATGTTACCCAGAGTCTACAGATCCCAGATGTCCTAGACCAACATCGCCACCAACTACACAACCGCCCAGATGTTACCCAGGGTCTACAGATCCTAGATGTCCAAGGCCAACACCTACACCCACTACACTACCGCCCAGATGTTACCCAGGATCTACGGATCCCAGATGTCCGCAAACCACGCCTAAACCACCCACACCCCCGCTATGTTATCCCGGTTCAACAGATCCAAGATGTCTGAAACCAACGGCGCCTTCAACTACCAAACCGCCCCCAACATACTTGCCTCCAACTACACAACCGCCCAGGTGTTACCCAGGATCAACAGATCCAGGATGTCCTAGACCATCGTCGCCACCAACTACACAACCTCCCAGATGTTACCCAGGATCTCCAGATCCTCGATGTCCTAGGCCAACACCTCCACCCACTACAGAACCTCCCAGGTGTTACCCAGGAACTACAGATCCTCGATGTCCTAGGCCAACGTCGCCACCTACTACACAACCTCCCAGATGTTACCCAGGATCTCCAGATCCTCGATGTCCTAGGCCAACGTCGCCACCTACTACACAACCTCCCAGATGTTACCCAGGATCTCCAGATCCTCGATGTCCTAGGCCAACGTCGCCACCTACTACACAACCTCCCAGATGTTACCCAGGATCTCCAGATCCTCGATGTCCTAGGCCAACGTCGCCACCTACTACACAACCTCCCAGATGTTACCCAGGATCTCCAGATCCTCGATGTCCTAGGCCAACGTCGCCACCTACTACACAACCTCCCAGATGTTACCCAGGATCTCCAGATCCTCGATGTCCTAGGCCAACGTCGCCACCTACTACACAACCTCCCAGATGTTACCCAGGATCTCCAGATCCTCGATGTCCTAGGCCAACGTCGCCACCTACTACACAACCTCCCAGATGTTACCCAGGATCTCCAGATCCTCGATGTCCTAGGCCAACGTCGCCACCTACTACACAACCTCCCAGATGTTACCCAGGATCTCCAGATCCTCGATGTCCTAGGCCAACGTCGCCACCTACTACACAACCTCCCAGATGTTACCCAGGATCTCCAGATCCTCGATGTCCTAGGCCAACGTCGCCACCTACTACACAACCTCCCAGATGTTACCCAGGATCTCCAGATCCTCGATGTCCTAGGCCAACGTCGCCACCTACTACACAACCTCCCAGATGTTACCCAGGATCTCCAGATCCTCGATGTCCTAGGCCAACGTCGCCACCTACTACACAACCTCCCAGATGTTACCCAGGATCTCCAGATCCTCGATGTCCTAGGCCAACGTCGCCACCTACTACACAACCTCCCAGATGTTACCCAGGATCTCCAGATCCTCGATGTCCTAGGCCAACGTCGCCACCTACTACACAACCTCCCAGATGTTACCCAGGATCTCCAGATCCTCGATGTCCTAGGCCAACGTCGCCACCTACTACACAACCTCCCAGATGTTACCCAGGATCTCCAGATCCTCGATGTCCTAGGCCAACGTCGCCACCTACTACACAACCTCCCAGATGTTACCCAGGATCTCCAGATCCTCGATGTCCTAGGCCAACGTCGCCACCTACTACACAACCTCCCAGATGTTACCCAGGATCTCCAGATCCTCGATGTCCTAGGCCAACGTCGCCACCTACTACACAACCTCCCAGATGTTACCCAGGATCTCCAGATCCTCGATGTCCTAGGCCAACGTCGCCACCTACTACACAACCTCCCAGATGTTACCCAGGATCTCCAGATCCTCGATGTCCTAGGCCAACGTCGCCACCTACTACACAACCTCCCAGATGTTACCCAGGATCTCCAGATCCTCGATGTCCTAGGCCAACGTCGCCACCTACTACACAACCTCCCAGATGTTACCCAGGATCTCCAGATCCTCGATGTCCTAGGCCAACGTCGCCACCTACTACACAACCTCCCAGATGTTACCCAGGATCTCCAGATCCTCGATGTCCTAGGCCAACGTCGCCACCTACTACACAACCTCCCAGATGTTACCCAGGATCTCCAGATCCTCGATGTCCTAGGCCAACGTCGCCACCTACTACACAACCTCCCAGATGTTACCCACTACACAACCACCCAGATGTTACCCAGGGTCTACAGATCCCAGATGTCCGCAAACCACGCCTAAACCCCCCACACCCCCGCTATGTTATCCCGGTGCAACAGATCCAAGATGTCCGAAACCAACGCAGCCTACAACAACAAAGCCGCCTCCAACATACTTGCCTCCAAGTACACAACCACCCAGATGTTACCCAGGATCTACAGATCCTAGATGTCCTAGGCCAACACCTCCACCCACTAAAGCACCGCCAAAGTGTTACCCAGGATCTACAGATCCTAGATGTCCTAGGCCAACGCAGCCACCTACTACACAACCTCCAAGATGTTACCCAGGGTCTACAGATCCTAGATGTCCTAGACCAACGCCGCCACCAACTACACAACCTCCAAGATGTTACCCAGGATCTACAGATCCCCGATGTCCTAGGCCAACACCTCCACCCACTACAGAAGCTCCCAGGTGTTACCCAGGGTCTACAGATCCCAGATGTCCTAGGCCAACGCCGCCTTCAACTACAGAACCTCCCAGGTGTTATCCAGGATCTACAGATCCTAGATGTCCTAGACCAACGCCGCCCCCAACTACACAACCGCCTAGATGTTACCCAGGAACTACAGATCCTAGATGTCCTAGGCCAACACCTCCACCCACTATAATACCTCCCAGGTGTTACCCAGGATCTACAGATCCTAGATGTCCTAGGCCAACGCCGCCTCCGACTACACAACCGCCCAGATGTTACCCAGGATCTACAGATCCTAGATGTCCCAGGCCAACGCCGCCTCCACCTACAGAACCTCCCAGATGTTACCCAGGATCTACAGACACTAGATGTCCTAGGCCAACGCCGCCTCCAACTACACAACCTCCCCGGTGTTACCCAGGGTCTACAGATCCTAGATGTCCACAAACCACGCCTAAACCACCCACACCTCCGCTATGTTATCCCGGTTCAACAGACCCAAGATGTCCGAAACTAACGCCGCCTACAACTACCAAGCCGCCCCCAACATACCTGCCTCCAACTACACAACCGCCCAGTTGTTACCCAGGGTCGACAGACCCTAGATGTCCTAAGCCAACGCCTCCGCCTAGTACACAACCGCCCAGATGTTATCCTGGTTCTACAGATCCTAGATGTCCTAAACAACCGCCAACAACACAACGCCCTACATATTCACCACATACAACTCCATTTTTCTGTCCTTGCCTAACAGAAACTTCCTCGACAACACCAAAACCTCTTACCCCTCCAATCTGCTTTGCAGATTCCACAGATCCCAGATGCCCTAGGCCCACTCCTCCACCAACTACTCCACGTCCAAGTTGCTACCCTGGATCCACTGATCCTAGATGCCCCAGGCCTACGCCTCCATCAACCACTCCACGTCCAAGTTGCTACCCTGGATCCACTGATCCTAGATGCCCTAGGCCCACTACTCCACCAACCACTCCACGTCCAAGTTGCTACCCTGGATCCACTGATCCTAGATGCCCCAGACCCACGCCTCCATCAACCACTCCACGTCCAACTTGCTACCCTGGATCCACTGATCCTGATTGCCCCACTCCTTATCCACCAGCAACGAAACCCCCACCTCCTCAATGTTTTCCCGGTTCAAAGGATCCCAGGTGTCCACCTCCAAGGCCCCAAACTACTTACACCCCTTCTAGTACCACTACATCTCCTGTTTGTTATCCGGGATCCACAGACCCTAGATGCCCTAGGCCCACTCCTCCACCAACCACTCAAGGTCCAAGGTGCTACCCTGGCTCCACAGATCCTAGATGCCCAAGGCCCACTCCTCCAGCAACCACTCCGCGTCCAAGTTGCTACCCTGGATCCATAGATCCTAGATGCCCCAGACCCACTCCTCCACCAACTACTCCACGTCCAAGTTGCTACCCTGGATCCACTGATCCTAGATGCCCCAGACCCACTCCTCCATCAACCACTCCACGTCCAACTTGCTACCCTGGATCCACTGATCCTGATTGCCCCACTCCTTATCCACCAGCAACGAAACCCCCACCTCCTCAATGTTTTCCCGGTTCAAAGGATCCCAGGTGTCCACCTCCAAGGCCCCAAACTACTTACACCCCTTCTAGTACCACTACATCTCCTGTTTGTTATCCGGGATCCACAGACCCTAGATGCCCTAGGCCCACTCCTCCACCAACCACTCAAGGTCCAAGTTGCTACCCTGGATCCACAGATCCTAGATGCCCCAGGCCCACTCCTCCAGCAACCACTCCGCGTCCAAGTTGCTACCCTGGATCCACTGATCCTAGATGCCCCAGACCCACGCCTCCATCAACCACTCCACGTCCAACTTGCTACCCTGGATCCACTGATCCTGATTGCCCCACTCCTTATCCACCAGCAACGAAACCCCCACCTCCTCAATGTTTTCCCGGTTCAAAGGATACCAGGTGCCCACCTCCAAGGCCCCAAACTACTTACACCCCTCCTAGTACCACTACATCTCCTGTTTGTTATCCTGGATCCACAGACCCTGGATGCCCTAGGCCCACTCCTCCACCAACCACTCAAGGTCCAAGTTGCTACCCTGGCTCCACAGATCCTAGATGCCCAAGGCCCACTCCTCCAGCAACCACTCCGCGTCCAAGTTGCTACCCTGGATCCACAGATCCTAGATGCCCCAGTCCCACTCCTCCAGCAACCACTCCACGCCCAAGTTGCTACCCTGGATCCACAGATCCTAGATGCCCCAGTCCCACTCCTCCACCAGCCACTCCACGCCCAAGTTGCTACCCTGGATCCTCTGATCCTGACTGTCCCACTCCTTATCCACCAGCAACGAAACCCCCACCTCCTCAATGTTTTCCCGGTTCAAGGGATCCCAGGTGTCCACCTCCAAGGCCCCAAACTACTTACACCCCTCCTAGTACCACTACATCTCCTGTTTGTTATCCGGGATCCACAGATCCTAGATGCCCCAGGCCCACTATTCCACCAACCACTCCAGGTCCAAGTTGCTACCCTGGATCCACAGATCCTAGATGCCCTAGGCCCACTCCTCCACGTCCAAGTTGCTACCCTGGATCCACTGATCCTGACTGTCCCACTCCTTATCCACCAGCAACGAAACCCCCACCTCCTCAATGTTTTCCCGGTTCAAAGGATCCAAGGTGTCCACCTCCAAGGCCCCAAACTACTTACACCCCTCCTAGTACCACTACATCTTCTGTTTGTTATCCGGGATCCACAGATCCTAGGTGCCCTAGGCCCACTCCTCCACCAACCACTCCACGCCCAAGTTGCTACCCTGGATCAACTGATCCCAGATGTCCTACATCCAGTCAGCCAACTACCTACTTCCCACCACATTCTACAACACATCCTCCGACATGTGAATGCCTAACAAAACCGCCCGAATGTTTTCTTGGTAGTCAAGATCCCCGATGTCCTCAAACAACAACCCCGAATCCTGTAGCACCTCCTATCTGCTATCCTGGTTCTACAGATCCTAGATGTGAACCATCATGTTTCCCTGGTTCTACCGACCCTCGCTGTCCCCAAGAAGTTCCTCCTCCAGGCTGTTACCCAGGTTCACCTGATCCAAGATGTGGCAGTCCATCACAGCAACGTTCAACATATTTACCACCAGGAACTTCGAAATCACAGTGTCCTGCTGGTTCCAAAGACCCAACATGTCAACCCGTTCCTACACCTCAGTATCAATGTCATCCAGGATCCCCAGATCCTAGGTGCAATGAAATTGTAACTCCTCTGCCTTCAACTACAGTGAAACCTCGTGGCTGTTACCCTGGATCCTCTGACAGAAACTGCACTAGTGATGGGTCAGCTTATTATGAGACAGAACTGAAAGCACCACAGTGTCTCCCTGGCTCTAGCGATCCAAAGTGCGTACCTACTCAACAAATACCTAGTGATGGTAGTGAATTATTTCCAGTACCCATACAGCCATCCACAGCTGAGCCCATCAGGACAACTCAAAATGAAGTCGGGGATTACCATGGGAAAGATCAAGATCCACGTTACCATGCATTTCATTCATGTAAGTACTATGTTGTAAGGCAGTATCTTGTATTAAGAACAATATCTTCCGGTAGTAGTTTCCTGAATTTTCAGAGGAATGTACCACACCTGTCTTCAGGATCAAGTGAACACATAAGCAGCACATCCGTGAAGATGGCACTTTTCATAGTCACCACAATAAGATCCTGAAATTTCATGCGTCTTGTACAGGGTGATTCAGAAAGATGGACACAATTTCAATTGGCTATATTTCCTGAATTATATGTTGCATTTGAATTCTGTAAATTACAGTTGATTATACATATATGGAAATTTATAAATGTTCAATGTGCCTCGCCTCCGGCTGCAAGGATAACATCTAGACGGTAGCTGAATTCATCCTACACTCGATGACAAATATCTTGCGTCACTGAGTTCACCGCAGCTGTGATACAGTTTCTTAGGTCATTCAAATTTGTGGGAAGACGTGGTACACGCCACACAGTTGTTTGTGATAGTCCAAGTTCTCTACTAGCACTACGGGTTGACTTCATTGGGCTGCGCTCAAAGTTCACTCGAATGCGCTCCACGTTCTCCTCCGATACACGCGATCGGCCTGGGCTTTTACCCTTACACAGAGAGCCAGTTTAATCAAATTGTTTATTCCAACGATAAATGCTCTTCCTCGTTGGAGGTTGCATGTTAAACTTACGACGAAATGCACGCTCCACCGCTGTCACAGACTCACTTTTACTGAACTCACGAATGCAAAAAGTCTTCTGTTGCATAGTAGGCATCTCACTTACAACTGACGGGGTGCTGGAGTGCTCTAGCGGTAATATTAGAAACTTTACAACATCCTCTTTCATATGTACTTTACAGAATTCAAATGCAACATACAGTTCAGGAAATATAGCCAATTGAAATTGTGTCCATCTTTCTGAATCACGCTGTATTAGGCTACTGTGAAATGTGACCAGTATTTCTAATCTCTGCTAATGATACCACAAAAACTGTTCATGGATTCGAGAAGTCTTGATGTGTCATAATTCTCTAGAAACTAATTTTGTAAATTTTGCACATTATATGGATGTTCTGGTAACAAGAATATCATCATTAATGATATAAGCAGAGATAACATTAATAACATATTAAAAATTAAGGAGATGGCTCAGTGAGTAAAGTAACTTGCTACAAGCTCAATTAATCAAGGGCCCAATTCACTTACACTGTTCCTTTCAGTCTACTCTTTGCCCATCTTTCCTTCGTCCCTATATACAGAACACCCCCCCCTCTCGCAGCTTACTAGCGAATCCTTAAAGACTGAGGTGGTAGCACTTTCTTCCAAAACACTAGCAGCTACATACCCACCAACTACACAGTATTACATCCCAGAAGATTGTAACCTTGAAGAATGAATGTAGTTTACCACAAATCTTCATACATTTTTGTTGTTGTCAGGCTTAGACATGGAAAATTTTCCACCTTTAATACATTCTAAAAGACATATCATCATGCAGGAAACACCAGTCAAAAGATATGGCCACATGGAAGACACGAAGTCAAATATGCACAAAAATACGTCACTTAGAAAAAGTGACACACTGTGAGTCAGCAATTCAATAATTAAGCTAAGGGGTAGACAATCAGGAGCCAAGACCGTACTTAACATGTGGCCTATTCAGTCTCATATCAGAAGCGTATCGGGGGCTTTCTCGGATATAAGGCAGCCAGGGAGTGGAGAAGACTAGTCACCGTCATGCAATGCAGAGGTTAAGAATGCATGGAGCTGTAGATCCACTGTCTCATATATGTTCTTGGCATGTTGTTTAATTCAGCATAGGGTCAATTTTATATTCACCTAAATCAAATTAAAAAGTCACAACTGTTTGTTTTATTTCTAGGGTTATACGAGCCAAGGAAACCATCCCATAGGCGTCACTTCGGTAAACGAGACATTGAACAAGCAGATGTGCAACTGACAGAAGATATCAGTGACCACAAGAGAATTGATAAACGTGAAGTTCAAGAGAAACAGATTGTTTCCATAACCCTGGGTGTTCGCGGACTGATGGTGGGATCGGAAGCAGATCTCAAATCACATGGACTGACAAAAAGAGATACTGCTACATCAACTATGAGGAAGTCTGAAATCAGATCTAGTGAATTACCTCTTTCTCCTGTATATTCCTTCACAATTCTAAGTGCAATAATCGGCTCAGCCATCGCTATGTCACTTGTAGCCACTATAGTGTACTTTCTTGCTCAAAGACGTACAAAAACAAGGCAGGTAATTACTGTTGCCCCTGAACTATTAAATAAACTGCAAGAGAAAATGAAAAGAAGTGGATGGAATTGAAAATGACAAGAATCGTTGACAGTGTGTTTCAAGAAAATGCATGGAGATATGCCGAACTGTAGAATACCCAAACAGGCTTACGCGAAGTTTCGAAAGATAAATATGGGAAGTTCATTTAAGAAAATTGAAATATGGGGGGGGGAATAATGTATTTTATGTAATATGATTCTATCCATGTTCATACAATTTCTAAAAGAAAATTACAGGACAGATGTTGATGGTTTTACTGTCTTTCATATTATGAAATACTTTCTGTATTTAATAAAAATGCAGACTTCTTTCAAGCCTCTCCTCCCCAGATAACAGAGGCCATTGTTGCACACAAGTGTATAACACATCATGCACAAATCGCTAAGGTCTGGTCTTTGACTTGATATTAGTCACATAAAATAAGACGCCTATCTACAAGATACAGTAGAACACCAAAACTTTCTCAGACCGGGGGCCGCAGACCTCGCCATCTATCTCTGTGGTTGCAAAGCTCTTGTCCTTCATTTTGTTCCTGTGTTCTTCCTTCTCTGTGTGACACCTTCCCTAACGTGCTGTTTTCTTCCTGAAAACTTTCCATTTAATCTCAAGTTAAAAACCTTCCATGGGATTGCATCTTAACAGTCGTTCTTACGAAGTGTCAACACCAGTTTATTCCTGTATTTATTAATTTATCTTCAGAATTATTTACCTGATATCAACTCTTAAATTTTTCATCTCTTATTCTCTCTCTTCTGGTTTATACTTCTAAACTTCTTAAAATGGCACAATTTGTAATACTTTACTTTCATTTTGTTTTGCTCTACTGGTGAACATAATTTAACACAGACCAGAGATGTATTTGTGGTTGCCCACACTTGAGAAATTCTGCGCTAGGAATAACTCTGATGATAGGAACAGGGGAGGAGAGGTTGGCAGAAGGACCCTAAGCAGGGTACATGAATGTAAACTGCCAATACCATTGATGAAACTCCACACATTGCCCACACATTTGTGTATATAAAATAGTATATATTGCCATAAGAGGATTTGGTAGCACTCCGTACCAGACTCTAAACTTACGAGAATATTCAAGGGTCATGGGCATAGGACTGAATCATTCTAATGAAGAAACAATGATTTACAGAAATATAACCTCACTTTTACAAACCTAACAACAATCCTTGCTTAATGCTTCAAATATGCCTTACATTTAGAATACGTGAGAAAAGAAATGTTTATATAAGATTTCAGACTTCCATTACGGTGGAGGTTCATAATGTGGTCTCATGGATAATGAATGATGAACTCTGAGGCTGCACATTCCTCCAAAACAATGGTAGCCATCTTAACCAGATGGCCATATCTTGAACATGAGGAGTTAAAAATAATCTCTAACTTGAAATTATATGATTGTATTTATAAATAAAAATTATTCTGCAACTATCTTTGTTCAGTGCATAAAGAAATTCTGAAGAATAAAGCATTAATCTAGCTTTGCTAAAATTATCATGGATTTTAAATCATAAAAACATGTCAGGATCAGCCTCTGAAACACTGCATGAGATGAGGTCTCAATTGTTATGAATCAGAGTTTCAGACACCAAAACAACCACATGATCAATTTCATACCAAGTGTCAAGGGTATGATCCAGTATTCTGTGCCCATGCTGACTGAAATGATGGTTAGTGATGTTAACTGTACAATATGTATTTCTAAAAAAACATGTACATATTACAGTATATTTCACATTACATAACCGTCTGTGTAAAATATCATACCTGATGTTTTGTACTGTTATGAGCAGAATTGATGTAAGCTACAGACATGCTTTAACATGAAAATGACAAATATTTCTAAATAAAATAAAATACGATAACATTGTTCTACTGTTGCTATTCACTGTACTTCATAAGGCAAGAAAAATGTTGGTGTACTGGTTATGTAGGGCTGAATGGTGGGATTACGAATGAGAAGTTGGGAAGGATTTTTAGAAGAAAGTAAATCTGATCTGTCTGAAGGTACTAACAATTTGGTTGGATGGAACGAGGAACGCCATGAAAATCAGAACAGTCTCTGGACTGAGAATCGAACCTGGAACCTCTCGAATATGAAGCACCATATAAATCATATAGAATGCAATTTATATACCTTGTATCACACACTAACAATATCTGATATCATGGGACTTAAATTTCCCAAGGCAGTCATTATTCAGAGTAGCCTTCTGGGATGCGGTGCTGTGTAGTTTGACAGATAGGCACCAACATTTCAGGGAATCCTGCTGTATCCGTTGTCAGGATAGAAGATGGGGCAGCAGGTTCCTCTGAAATGTTGGTACGAATTTAATAACGTACTTCGTAACTTGACAACAACTGTTGCAGTACTCATCATCAGAATCAAACATATGTTTGTGTGCAAGCTGCAACATCAAACATTCAGATCCTACAGATGGACTACTGAGCTTTAGCTTTTGTTGTAAGCTGATGTCTATGTTGGCTCCTTAATAACAACAGCTGTTCAGAAGCTTCAAGAACAATCAGAAATGAACATTCCCAAGGAGATTCAGGGATCCAGTCACTGAATACACTCCAAGAATTATAATTTTCATTTCATGCATCCGGTTGTGTTACAATATACAACCTTTATTATATCCGTCACAACACAACTAATATCAAGATCAGACCATTTTCGGCCCTGCTACATGTTTCAGCTATTGATAGCCATCATCAGGCAAACACATGATTTATACATATATACACACCACTGAACCGCAGCACCAACAAAATTGGATACAATATTATTAAAATATATAAAACTTTACATAAAAAATACGATAAATCAAGTTATATAAAACAGAAGTATGATATAAAATTCTTTTGGTGTTTTTCATGAACGTGTCAGTCATTGGTTTGAGATTTGTTTTTGTTTCGTCCCCACGGACAAGTTGGAACATTCATACTTCATCATCATCATCATCAGTAATCTGTCAGACGACAGGTCCGCAGTCTCTTCCAAAACAGTTCCTCCACTTAATGCGATCTTCTGTTTTTGGAAAGAGACTATCCAGGAAGTGATAATGTGGTGGTTTTTCCATTCGCTTTCCACATCGCAGTACAACAGCCGTTCAAACCACTCTGGTCACGCCTGTTGCTATACGAACTTGAACCATCCCGAGCATCATTTGCTCTGTGCTTCAAGTCGCTGCTGATGATGCTGCTTCCGGCATCAGTGTTTGGTTTTTGGTGTCTCTCTTCGTCTGATGCCTACCCTTTGACCTGTCCAGCAAGGGAGGCCCTGCCAGTAGCCATGCTACCGCTGGTATAGCTCTCAGGGTCCTTGGCATACTCAAACCTCCTCACCACGATAAGGTGGAGACCACCACACCAACTTCATACTTATGCGTATATAAAATTGTGCATGAGGCTCGTACTGTAGATGCAGTAAAGTAAATTATAATATATATTGTGACGTGTTGCACTATGGATGACGCCTCTCCCTCCCCGCCAGCCGTGACATGCCGAGTCCCAGCACGCTGGTTGCTAGGCAAAGCGGGTAAACAGTGGTTGCGGGAGATGACGGTAATAACAGCGGTACCCATTACATATCGGCAAACACGGTGCCAGACAACAGTGGTGCCTATTACGTGGCTGTTTTCTGTGTTGTCCGGAATGGGGCTAAATAAGGAGCAGTGAAGACTATTCAAGTTAGTTACGAGTTAGCCAGAGAGTCAGTCACCAGTTAATTGCAGTCCAGTATTTGTGATACTGCCAATGGCAGTAATGTTGAGCTTGTAAATTGGTGTGATTATAAGAGCGAGTGTGAAATAAAATTCACTATGCCCCATACGGTGTGAAGTTATTTGTCGCATTACATACCCAATACGTGACAATATAATATAAGATTCTTACATCACCAAATCAGTCATTGTTTACATTCCCTACAGTATGGACAATACTTTGTGAGATGAGGCACTGACTAATATTATAATTTACTTTATTACATCTACATTACGAGCCTCATACACAATTTTATATATGCATAAGTATGAATATTCCAATTTGTCCGTGTGAACGAAACAAAAAACAAATCACAAACCAACGACTGACACGTTGATGTAAAAACATCAAAAGAATTTTATTCTTATTTTATATCATATTTCTGTTTCATATAACTTGATTTATTGTATTTTTTACGTCAAGTTTATTTATATATTTTAATAATAATGTATCCAATTTTTTTGGTGCTGCGGTTCAGTGGTGTGTGTATATGTGTGTAAATCATGTGTTTGCCTGATTATGGCTATCAATAGCCGAAAGATGTAGAAGGGCCAAAAATGGTCTGATCTTGATATTAGTTGTGTTGTGATGGATATAATAAAGAGGTAGTTCCAAGAATTATGTTCAGAAGTCACTTCCCCAAACAGCTAAACTTGGTTTTCACAACCACAGAACAATGCACAGAATACCTTGGGTTATATGATTGGATAGGCCACTGAACTTCTACACAGAAATCATCAATGCTGTCTCTCAGATCTTACAATTTCCCATCCCCTCCCAACATCACTTCTACCAGCCATAAACTAACTTGTGCAAAAATTATACAAAGACCTTTTGGTATAAAACAATAATATAAGACTCCTGCCATCTGTTCCCCTACACGCAGACTACTAAAGGAGATCTTAAGGAACACAATCATAGTTGGCAGTGGGGTAGAAGAGGAACATAACATGTCAGAGGTCAGGACAGGGCTCACACAGCACTAAGAGTAATGAAACAGCACTTTTGGGAACACATGGCTCAGTTCCACTGCTCTGCATCTGAGAGCATCCCAGACCAAACCCTGACAGTATCAAACAACTTCATAAATTAAAATATCCAAGGCACTTACACAAAAAGACTCCTAATCCATGTGCAGTGACTGAGTATATATTTACTGAGACATATATAGAGACATGTAGCTAAGACATACATAGTAAATACTACAATAAAAAAATATCATTCTTAAGTCTATTGTCTGGAAGTAGGCTCAGGCTTACAATGAATTATATATATTGCCGAGTGTTTGGCATAGTACATAATATATAAATTCTCCCAACAGGGGGACTTTGGTCCTTTTGTCGTCTTTTTAAGTAAATCTTGAGTCTTAAAACAGAAACAATATTTTGTTTCTAATATCACAATCAAAATCACATAAATGAAGCTTCCATTTGTAAGATAAGAAAGACAATAACCTTCAGCCACATATACTGACCATGTAAAACAGTACAAGCACTGAATCAGCCCAGACACTGTACGTATGTGTCTACGGTGCATCTTCCAGAAGTGAACTAACTTACTGTGACATGAGGTCTTAACAGTAGTGAAGATTTGGATTACTGTGTTTTGGGTTTTGATACCGTACGGTGTCATACTTCCATCTTCAGGATAAGCTCAGGGATGGAGGACGTGGGGTCATAATCCAGAATGCATAATCTGGGAGTACTATATTAGTTTGAGCTATGCCATTACAGATTTTATAAATAAAACATTCAAGAGTTCAGCCACAGAAAACAGTTATTAAAAACTAAAAACAAAATGTAAGACAATTTATCAAACTACTGGCCATGTGATTCTTTCAAATCTATTACAAAATACATACACTATTTCAGAATATTTATTATATATGAAAATTTAATTATCTACACAAAACACACATAAAAAAGGGTAATGCTATCCCTGTAACAGGCTGTGAAGGCCTATAGGGTTGTGAGAAGTGAGGCTCCCACATTTTCTAGATGACTGACTTATAGATGGTGTTGAAGCTGTCAACCTCACGCACCAGCCACCCTTTACCCTCAGGAAGATTCCTGGTACTCATTTCTGTTAGAGGCTGAGTTGACCCCAGGGCCACAGTGTGGCTGGAAGGATTAGGTCAATTGAAAAAATCAACGATCTCATTGGAAAATGAACCTGTGACCTTCCTGCTTGCAGCATAGTGCCCCAACCATGCTACAGCGTGTCCAAGAAAATATACATTATAATATAAAAACAAATAAAATGAAATAGAATTAGATAAAGTGTAATTATTTACTCTTTCCTGGCATTAGTGTCTGACAGTACCTCATTCTAGGGCTCACAAGCACGGGTCAAGTTTTCAAGCACCTCTTACCATCTCTTGAATGGCTGATTAGATTTTCTGTGATAATACACTATCAACATTTCTTGTTATAAGTGAAGCAGCAAGTTATATACATATATATATATATAAAAAAAACTCAAAACTCCATGGCCTGCAGTCAACAGGCGAACTCTACCAACTGAGTGGCTGCTGCTTGTCGGCAAAGTTAGTGCTAACTTTAGCAGATAGAGGGTGTCACGTGGTCAGTGCAACAGATCCCCAAGACCATTAATCTTGNTCAAACTACTGGCCATGTGATTCTTTCAAATCTATTACAAAATACATACACTATTTCAGAATATTTATTATATATGAAAATTTAATTATCTACACAAAACACACATAAAAAAGGGTAATGCTATCCCTGTAACAGGCTGTGAAGGCCTATAGGGTTGTGAGAAGTGAGGCTCCCACATTTTCTAGATGACTGACTTATAGATGGTGTTGAAGCTGTCAACCTCACGCACCAGCCACCCTTTACCCTCAGGAAGATTCCTGGTACTCATTTCTGTTAGAGGCTGAGTTGACCCCAGGGCCACAGTGTGGCTGGAAGGATTAGGTCAATTGAAAAAATCAACGATCTCATTGGAAAATGAACCTGTGACCTTCCTGCTTGCAGCATAGTGCCCCAACCATGCTACAGCGTGTCCAAGAAAATATACATTATAATATAAAAACAAATAAAATGAAATAGAATTAGATAAAGTGTAATTATTTACTCTTTCCTGGCATTAGTGTCTGACAGTACCTCATTCTAGGGCTCACAAGCACGGGTCAAGTTTTCAAGCACCTCTTACCATCTCTTGAATGGCTGATTAGATTTTCTGTGATAATACACTATCAACATTTCTTGTTATAAGTGAAGCAGCAAGTTATATACATATATATATATATATAAAAAAAACTCAAAACTCCATGGCCTGCAGTCAACAGGCGAACTCTACCAACTGAGTGGCTGCTGCTTGTCGGCAAAGTTAGTGCTAACTTTAGCAGATAGAGGGTGTCACGTGGTCAGTGCAACAGATCCCCAAGACCATTAATCTTGGTTTTCTAGACTGGAGCCACTATTCCTTTGAAATAGCTCCTCAGTTATTCTCACAAGGCTGAGTGGAACCCAGGACCTCTGGATCTATAGCCAGGAACTCTGACCACTAGACCACAGAGGCAGTCATATGGGGGGGGGGGGGGTAAAAAGAAAACCTCTATGATCCAGACATCTGCGCATGTGTTAAAATGCTGCAAACAAGGGCTGAAACTTTCATTAAAATTTGCCATTTACTTCAGAAACTATTGTTTTCGTGAAGCAAGGTAAAACTTTTCTCCGTGTTGTAAAACTAAGGACAAAAGCTAATGATGTGAGGCTTCCTCATGAGGGCAGGAAATGGTGAAATGAAGGAGAAATTTCACTGGCACCATGGCAATTAAATTGTTGATGAGAGTACACTTCTACTTGAAATCAGAATCGGGCAGCTGTGCAGTACTTCAAATGGACGTTTTGTATCTGAACTCTCCCTGGGATTGGCCAAGGTATGAGCACAGACATAGATAATGGCATGAGCTAATCTCAGCAATCATTACAGGCATGCTCAGAAACACCATGGTTTTGCTGTGTCTTGCAAGTGGCTGAACTCTTGAACATTCAGAAATAACAAACCTTCTTAATTCTTGCCTCAAATGAGAGAGAGCGCTGAAGGCACGTTTTCAGTTAATCAGCTGTTCTTGGTACAGATTGGACAGATGCGGCTCGGAGTGTGTCTTCTGAGGCACACCTCATGATACGAGTGACCACAGCGAAATGTCGTCACACCTCCATCTTTCATGAGGACTGCAGAGCCAAGGGGCAGTGCACACCACGGACAACTTCCATCCGCTATGTTGACTTTCACACCCCAATGATGCTTCTCTGAAGCAACTGGAAACTCTACATATTTGCCCAAGTCTTCTCTCAGGGCCTCTTGTACAGCTGAGTAAACCTGCAAGTATCGCACACATCATAAGAGCTATGAAGTTTCCGAGGCAGCGAAGCTTTAGACTCTGCTTGGTTATGATACAATGTGACCTATGTGGGTATTATTACTATTATTATTATTATTAGAGGGGGTGGGTTTCCCCATGCACTTAGACCAGTTATTGGTCCATTTTGCATCCCCCTTTAATTTCTACTGTCGCCATACCCTATCAGTACTGGTGCATGCTATCAGCCCCGTTCAGCCAACGAGGTCAGCCGTCGGTACCTGATATTTCCCCCATCTACCAGAGGCATTGGAAACTAATTGCGCGGGAAACTTGTTGCCTAATTTTGCTCAGAGGTCTCCTAGACATGAGGATCTTTTACGTGCCGTAAATCTACGACACGGGACCCACGGCTTAAAGTCCCTCCTGGAGGACTTGTTCCCTGAATTTTTCCGCCCTTAAAAATTCCACGACCTCTGCCGGGTTTGAACCCCCATACCTTGAGTCATGAGGTGGGAATGTTACCCCTAGACTACAGAGGCCACTATCTATGTGGGGTACCAATATGATGAGATCATGGTGGCAAGTATCAACATTGCTGCCTTCTGAAATGTGAAGTCATATAGTTCTACATCCATCTTCAGGGCACCAGTAGAAGGAAACACAGAGTTCCTCTGAAGCATTAGCAAAAATCTACCAGACTACATGGCATCACCCTTAAAAAAAAAAAAAAAAAAATCCCGTGATTTCAGTCCGCAAGCGAACCATACCAACCAAGCAACTGCTGCTTGTCAACAAAGTTTAGTGTCAACTTTTTCGGATAGAGGGTGGGCATCATATCCTACAAGACTAATTTTCACAGTGCAGGATGTTCCACTGGTGGGCTTTTGCAGTGACATCCTCAGTTTGAGAACACCTTCACTGCTCAGCAGACTGCCTGTACCAGGAAATGTGGTACTTACCACTGGTGAAAACAGGGCAGGTTCACTTGTTTTCTTGCTACAGGCACTAAGCACATCAATTACTTTATCTCTGAGGCCTTCTGCATGATTGTCAAGTATTGTTGAATATATGCATGCCTGGTAAAACCTATAAAGTACAGAGAAATGTATTTCAATAATATATATCATACCAGCTAAAGTACACATTCAGGTTATAGGTTTGTCTTAACATAAGATGCAGTGAAACAATATAATTTCCTGTAACACGTCCTTTGTATTTTAACATCTTAACTTCCAAAGAAAACTTAGTGCAATGCTGGAAACAGACAACAGTGTTAACCACATATAGTGATTTTTCAGTTCCTAACATTAACAGCTGATCACTGCATTATTCCAATGATGCATGTGCATGGGGTAGCTGACCAAATGTTGTATCCTTCTGATACAAACACCACCTCCTCTGGCTAAAACATGACTGCCAGCCTCAGAGTGCCAGGAGATTTGGAAATGTTGTATCCTTTCGATATAAACACCACCTCCTCAAGCTAAAACATGGCTGCCAGCCTCACAGTGCCAGGAGATTTGGAAATGTTGTATCCTTTCGATATAAACACCACCTCCTCAAGCTAAAACATGACTGCCAGCCTCACAGTGCCAGGAGATTTGGAAATGTTGTATCCTTTCGATATAAACACCACCTCCTCAAGCTAAAACATGGCTGCCAGCCTCACAGTGCCAGGAGATTTGGAAATGTTGTATCCTTTCGATATAAACACCACCTCCTCAAGCTAAAACATGACTGCCAGCCTCACAGTGCCAGGAGATTTGGAAATGTTGTATCCTTTCGATATAAACACCACCTCCTCAAGCTAAAACATGGCTGCCAGCCTCACAGTGCCAGGAGATTTGGAAATGTTGTATCCTTTCGATATAAACACCACCTCCTCAAGCTAAAACATGACTGCCAGCCTCACAGTGCCAGGAGATTTGGAAATGTTGTATCCTTTCGATATAAACACCACCTCCTCAAGCTAAAACATGGCTGCCAGCCTCACAGTGCCAGGAGATTTGGAAATGTTGTATCCTTTCGATATAAACACCACCTCCTCAAGCTAAAACATGACTGCCAGCCTCACAGTGCCAGGAGATTTGGAAATGTTGTATCCTTTCGATATAAACACCACCTCCTCAAGCTAAAACATGGCTGCCAGCCTCACAGTGCCAGGAGATTTGGAAATGTTGTATCCTTTCGATATAAACACCACCTCCTCAAGCTAAAACATGACTGCCAGCCTCACAGTGCCAGGAGATTTGGAAATGTTGTATCCTTTCGATATAAACACCACCTCCTCAAGCTAAAACATGGCTGCCAGCCTCACAGTGCCAGGAGATTTGGAAATGTTGTATCCTTTCGATATAAACACCACCTCCTCAAGCTAAAACATGACTGCCAGCCTCACAGTGCCAGGAGATTTGGAAATGTTGTATCCTTTCGATATAAACACCACCTCCTCAAGCTAAAACATGGCTGCCAGCCTCAGAGTGCCAGGAGATTTAGAAATGTTGTATCCTTTCCATATAAACACCACCTCCTCAAGCTGAAACATGGCTGCCAGCCTCAGAGTGCCAGGAGATCTAGAAATGTTGCATCCTTTCAATACAAACACCATCTCCTCAAGCTAAAACATGGCTGCCAGCCTCAGAGTGCCAGGAGATCTAGAAATGTTGCATCCTTTCAATACAAACACCATCTCCTCAAGCTAAAACATGGCTGCCAGCCTCAGAGTGCCAGGAGATCTAGAAATGTTGCATCCTTTCAATACAAACACCATCTCCTCAAGCTAAAACATGGCTGCCAGCTTCAGAGTGCCAGGAGATTTAGAAATGTTGTAGCCTTTCGATACAAACACCATCTCCTCAAGCTAAAACATGGCTGCCAGCCTCAGAGTGCCAGGAGATTTAGAAATGTTATATCCTTTCGATACAAACACCATCTCCTCAAGCTAAAACATGGCTGCCAGCCTCAGAGTGCCAGGAGATCTAGAAATGTTGTATCCTTTCGATACAAACACCATCTCCTCAAGCTAAAACATGGCTGCCAGCCTCAGAGTGCCAGGAGATTTAGAAATGTTATATCCTTTCGATACAAACACCATCTCCTCAAGCTAAAACATGGCTGCCAGCCTCAGAGTGCCAGGAGATCTAGAAATGTTGTATCCTTTCGATACAAACACCATCTCCTCAAGCTAAAACATGGCTGCCAGCCTCAGAGTGCCAGGAGATTTAGAAATGTTATATCCTTTCGATACAAACACCATCTCCTCAAGCTAAAACATGGCTGCCAGCCTCAGAGTGCCAGGAGATCTAGAAATGTTGTATCCTTTCGATACAAACACCATCTCCTCAAGCTAAAACATGGCTGCCAGCCTCAGAGTGCCAGGAGATTTAGAAATGTTATATCCTTTCGATACAAACACCATCTCCTCAAGCTAAAACATGGCTGCCAGCCTCAGAGTGCCAGGAGATCTAGAAATGTTGTATCCTTTCAATACAAACACCATCTCCTCAAGCTAAAACATGGCTGCCAGCCTCAGAGTGCCAGGAGATTTAGAAACGTTGTATCCTTTCGATACAAACACAATCTCCTCAAGGTAAAACATGGCTGCCAGCCTCAGAGTGCCAGAAGAGTTAAAATCCCTTATTCCTGAATGATATACTCTCAGCCCTGAGTTACAACTTGACAACAAAGTTAAGTTGTTCCTGTGCTCAGTTAATTAAGAACTACACGATGAAGACTTACTGGGGTGTTGGATGTATAGCTTCACCACTCTTGACTTTGGCACTAGATGGAGGTGACCGGTCAGCTTCACACACAAACCGCTTTACCATTGGTGAAAGTGCTCCCAGCACCCAATGGATAGGAGGCTGGGTGGGCCCCAGAAACAATCTGAACACTGTGAAGATGTGCTCCTGCAGGAATTGAACACTGGCCATCCAGCCTGCAGCCCATCACTATATTGACTGAGCTATCTGAGCTCATATGGTAACCAAGATATTCAAAACGCTCTGTTACCAATCACAAACTGTTACACCTAAGTTAAACTCTGACTGACAACTCCCACAGTATTGGTAGTTTAAGGATCTCCATTCTCAGATGATACTAACCTTGCATCCAGCTCTCCTGGTTTGATGTGTCCAACATATTTTGTGAGGAGCTGTACTGCTACATGAGGACCCAACGATTTCACCATTAAAAGCCCCACAGAAGACCACAATACTCCTCTCGGTTGAGCTCCAGATATTGTGAACACGGAACCACAGTTCAAACAAGTACCAGCTTGGAATGTGGTAAGAAGCTCAAGTGTTTTCACCCAGTCAGCATGATCCAAGCAAGGCAGCCATCTGCCAAGCTCCAGTGTGTCACCTAGATGGATAACAAGTGGAAGAACTGAACTGAAGCCCTCGCTTCGTTTGTGAGGTAACACGAAGTGCCATAAAGACGGCACTTTCTTACACAACTCTGCGAGACATTCTCGGTTATTCTTCCAGTGATACAACACCATAACTTCTGCCAGCCACGGAAAGAGCAGCAATTGAGGTCTGAGCAATGGAAAGCCACAGACACACGACGCACCCATCACTGAATTCAGCTCCACAAATGCTGCAGTGACGTACAACCGCAGCTGGTTATCAGCAAATACTTTCGATAAACAGTCACTACTCGCTGGCATCTTCTCCAAATAAGTAAGAAATAATGAAGAGCAGTGTAACCTTGCTGCATCCTTATCCATTGCATTCCCTTCCAGGTGCTCCTGTAGTCTCGTTACGAGGTACCACACATCTTTAACAGACACTCGCTCACTCAATTCACAGCATGTCTCAATACGCTCCATTTTCAGCATAAAAAATATAGTACTCAGAAGCAGTGGAGGGGGCAGTTCATCACATGCAGCATGTCCCGATACTCCATCGCTTACATAAGACAAGTTGCCTTCTTCATATCTATCAAGAATTACACATAAAGCCAGATAATAACAGTGTAATTGTGATGTTTGTATATACTGCAGTGTTAGAACAGGATCAAACAACTCTGAGAAAGTAACAAGAATTCTGCTTAAAAGAATGTCTACTTTCAGAATATCTTCTGCATATAAATCTTTAAAATTGTCTGGAAATTGATCTGTAAGTTGTACTTCTTTAATTCTGTCATACAGCCAGGTAACAAGGTGGCCAGTTTGCAGAGCAAGGTGGAATTTGTCACTAATAATTTTCACAATGTCATCAGCAAAGTAGTGAGCAAAAGGAAACATGGTGATTATGTTCAAATCAGATTTCAAATCTGAACTTTGTAATACGTCTCTCACACCACACTGGGTCTTTATTAAACCTGTGACGAAGAGATCATAAATGTTACTAAGAGCATTCAGCAATTTACATATAAGTTCAAAAGTATCACTTCCATTTTGTTCACATGTAACAAAATGGTTACAGAGATTGATAACATCTGATGTATCAAGTACTGGAAAATGTGCAGTTCTGTGCCTCGGCTTATCGCTGCAAGAATGTACGAGGTCCACCACACTTTCACATGGCTGTGCTTCCTCGAGAATACCTTCATGGTAGTCAGGTGGTCTTATGTCCAGTGGTTCACAATTTGTGTCCTGACTCAAAAGCTTCATTTTACTTTCCAACATTTGCCACTTCTGTTTCAGCGACTTCCAGGACACACTCTGCTTCAGTTCTTTCAGTGCCTGAAGAGCTTCTGGAGGGAAAGCCATCTCTGAATCACTCTGTTCAGTGCATGCCCTAAATTCTGAATTTGTTTCAGAGACCAGATGATTGTCATAAGGAACTGTCATGGCAAATATTTTCTTGCGAAACAGAACATCATCATCTGCAGACACGACCACATCAGCAAGTTCAGGCAGCGATGTGCTACCGACAGACTTGTGGGCCTGCAGGCTTGACCCACTTTTCTCCCTCCGATTATTTTCAGGCGATGCAGTTAATGAACGTGACTTCTCTTTCTGCCCATTGACATTTAGCGTGTGAACATTTGGATATGATTTTAATGATTTCTGTTCATCTTCTTCCACCCTGCCCCAATGGAACTGCTCATTTTCCACAAGAAATATTCCAGACTTCAGCCTCTGGGCATTCTGTTTCTCTTTCATATGTTTTCCAATCTCTTGCAATAGAGGAGAAATTTTTCTGGCTTCTTTTTCATCTTCAAGTTTAGTTTCTAGATCTGCCAGAAGGTGAAGTTTGCTAGATGTCGGAGCTAACTCCATTAGGTAATTATTATACTGTTGGCAGATCTGGGCACAAAGAGAATACTGCTTGTGCAAGTACAGCCTGACTAGAAACCCATCCACTGGCAACATCACTAGAGCATGCATGTTTCCTGCTGCTGTCCACACATATATTGTGTCATTCAGTGTCTTTGCATCAACAATGTCCGTGAAACTGTTATTCCACAATACTACACTGCCCTTGCTAGGATCAAGGGCATACATCCCATTCCTCCTGAATGTGAATAAAAATTTCTTAGCAATCACATGTAGTTTTCTAAAATTGAATGACTGCTGACCCCATGGTTCAGTCTGACTAGTCTCCCCTGTGCCGCTGCCCTCTTGATGTGAAGTCTTTGTGTTACGAGGTCTGATAATGCAGGTAGGAGGCACGGCAAAAGCCTGCTTGAAGTGGTGCGTACTAAGCACTGTACCATCAACATGCACCTCCCACAAGCGTGAGCCAGGCCTTGCACAGAATATCTTCAGATTCTGCATGTCTTCACAGCCCGCAAACTTCTCGTCTTCGTTTAGCGAGCTGAACACGGCACCCGTGGCAGCAGAACTCCGCTGCTCACATCTGGATGGTAAATCATGGCTGTCATCTGCATAGAAACATGCCCCATACTCCCCCTCTCTCAGCTTCTGGCCAATCTGGCGGTACTGTTCCTTCACAGAATCACAAATGTAACAGCGAGACAGTGTTGACACCAATAGAAGCTCTGAGCACCAGTCTAACTGAACAATACGAGAATCCAGCTGCATTAGCATGAAGGATGGAGTCTGGAACATGCTCTTTGCCTGAAATGCATAAATAGTTTGGTTATAAGATTACAGTCTCCTGAGATGTGATGCTGTGTAGCGTGGCGGATAGGTACCAACACTGTGGAGCAACCTGTTGCCCCCATCTTATCCACGCTTCATCTAACCTGACAATCGAGACAGCAGGTTCCTCCAAAATCCTGCTACCTGCTTATCAAACCATACAGTGTAACTATAATATTGATTGCTGCAAAAACCCAAAACCTCAGTTTCATTATACCTTGCAGGGGAACAGAACAGAGAAAATGAAAAATATCTATGAGTCTGAAACAGAATACTCACCTCAAACACAGGAGTAATAATTAATTTTTAACTGTATCAATTTAAAACAAGTCTTCAGCATACACCTGCACAGTATCGTTGTGACTACCGTGCACTGATAAGGTCTGCGTGACTTCCACAAGCAAGTCATGACAACTTCACGACACTAGCAAGCACATCAACATAGGTTAATCTAACCACACACCCTGCATATGCTGCTCAGTGACCAAACCTTCCACACATGGAATACAGAATAATGATAGCCCAGAAATCATCTAAGGAACCGTCATGTTAAATTTTAATGCATTATCATCAGCTCGCTGTCCACTGTTTTTCAGCAGCCTTTTCTATTTGTTTCTGAGTTCATGTAATGCCACATACTCAACTATATAGGTTACATACAGTCAAAACAACATTCCGTAAGTATCGAACAGACATCACACTTAAAGAACATATTCAGTACTGTTCACAAAGAGTCTGGGTCCGACATCTCACAGGAACATATTGCCTCCAACTTCAGGGTAAGTGAAGCAAGAAACCAGAAGTGAGTGGCAAGCGGAGGGAACTGCATATGGAAAATCCAGCTTAATATAGGCCAGTAAGTAACAAAGTAAGTAAAGCTATCCCTGTAACAGGCCATGAAGGCCCATAGGGTTGTGAGATGTTGAGGGTCCCACATTATCTAGACAACTGGCTCAAAGATGGCGGTAAGGTTGTCAGCTTTACGTGCCGGCCGCGCTTTACTCCCAAGGAAAACTATTTACTTAATTCCTGGTACTAATTTCTGTTAGAGGCTGAGCGAACCCTGGGGCCATAGTGCGACCAGAGGATTAGGTAAATCGAAAAAAAACCAACGACCTCGTCGGTATTTGAACCCGCAACCTTCCGACTTGTAACATAGTGCCTTAACCACTACGCTACGGCGTCGGTCCAAGCCTGAAACGAGCTGCGTGACAGGGTCACTGTAGAAGAGTGACCACTGTCCACAATGGGACTTAGAGAGGGCCAATGGGCACAAAGAGAACAGTCCCTCTGTTGGGACCTGAAAAGGGCCAGCTGCATGCTAAGTGAAGTTGCAGGTGGAGATAAGTCATGTGTGTCTATCGAAGAGGTTGAATGTGGGGGGGATAATAAGTGCAAAACACAGAGGACAAGACCAGGACTGTGAGGGAAGAAGCTGTTCCAGAAACAGCCAAGGAAAACTAAGAGTATGGGTGCACTGGAAGGACAAAGTCCATGCCCTAAAAGGGGTAGTGTGCATGAGTGAAGCCCCATGGAGAACCATGTTACAAGAAACCTACCAAACTGTTTCAGGGACAGATGAGTTTCCATTATGTACTTAACCAGCAGGCACACTCCCTGCTCACAGAGGGCACATACTGCTCCAGAATGCAGGGCTCTTTCTCAAACGTGCGAGGTTACAATCCAAAACACACAGTCAGCACCAAAAGAACTTCAAATTCGACACTGTTCTCATTCTTCCTCTAACTTAACAGGAAAAGAGAGCACAGAATCAATGTGATTACAATAATTACACACTACATAACACAAACTATCTAAAGCTAAGCTGCCAGAACTACAGCCAAGATACTTACCCCAAAAGGTGATGCTCTGACGACCGATACTTTCCCACAATCGTCTCCAACAAAGAGTTCATTGCCAGATATATTCCACTGCAGTGCTGTGATATCTGAGCCGTGATGCTCGAGAGACATCTGGATACGGCGCACTTTCAGTGACTGGCTCTTCTCCAAAATGCACACCACTCCCTTCACAGTGGAGAAAGCAAAGAACTTCTCATCTGGCGAAACTGACACTTGCGTTACGGAACCTTCCTGGATGCATAAGAAATGTATCAACAACCGTTACTTACTTGTTAATGATGCATTTTTAATATAAGCTACCCTAATCCAACTTTATTTTAACTCAGGTACATTCACATTGAAAAGTATCATCTGGAATTAACAAATGTTAGTTCACTTCGCAAGGCAAACACAGGCTTCGCTCTGTAAATAAAATTACTGTCATGAAATCCAAAGAAGTGAAAACTGGATCATCTAAATCTAGGCAGAACCTCTTAAGGAAGGCTATGGTTCAAATCATGAATGTAAGTGAATGTTTTACTGTATTTAGTGCCATGGAAATTAGTTCCCTGGATAGCAGGGCTTCCCACTTCCTGTATGCTAGTGCAATCCAGTCCCATTCCCTCTGGAATATGTACCAACCCAGAGATCTTTTCACCAGTGAAGGTTATCGCCTGCCTGTCACTACCAACACTGGCATGAATGGAAGGGTTAAATGACTTGAGGGTAACACAGAGAAGTGTATCATGCAGGGGGAAGCGTGAACAACTTGATGGCTATATGTCCAGCTTCTTCTGTGACAACAGCACAGAATGCACAAAGTCCACATAGAACAAAATACTGTATTACTTCAAATTTGAGATGCATCCAATGTTTGAATGTGTGTTTTAGGGACAAAATTAGAAAGGTGCACATTCCTCGAATTTAATATGCATCTCAGTTCTTCAACGGGGAAAAAATGTGTAAAATGTGCATCTTAAATTTGAAGTAATGTGGCACGTTATATATTCTATAGGAGGATATGAGGTTCTAACAGAGGCAACTATGAACAGTGAAGACTTCTGGGTTGTAATACCGTGTAGTTCAGAGGGATTCTGACATTTCCGAGGAACATACCACCTCTATCTTCAGGGCAAAAGGGTAAGCCAAGTAAAAAACCAGCAACAAGTGGCAAGCTGAACTGGATACTGTCTGAACTACTGAGCATTACAACCCAAAACATCCTCTTCATAACAATTCTTCTCATGAGATGAAATTCATCATTAGGAGGGGACAAGCATTCCAGGTTCTGGTGATAGTGCATACTAGACCTGTTTACAACTGAATATAACATTACATTAACTATTCTGACACTGGGTACCGGAGAATCAGTAAGAGTTGTTAATATATACAATACACACAGGAGAATGGAAATTATCTAAAACAATTTAAACACCAAGCATCTCATTGACATCATTTCTATCTTGTAACGCAGCTTCTAGTGAACGCTATTTACAGGTTACTGAAATTCTTACATGTGGCTGCTTCAGTGAGTTCCTGGAAAGGAGCAAGGTGCCTACATACAAAATCCAGTCTGCAGCATATGTTAGTGCTAAAGATATGTAGGGATGGACGCAAGAACAGACACAATTATTTGAGAGCTTTCTATGGAAAAATAACACACAGTTCACTAACTTTATATCAAAACTCGCTTAATATACTAAACATTTATTGTACATCAGGTGAATAAATTACCTTATTTGGAAGAAGATGAAGAAAAATGCATGGCTCACGTCGGAAAACATACAGAGCTCCACTTGTTGCACCAAAAATGAGGAAGTTCTGAGACACACTGAAGGAGGTGTACTGAAAGTAACAAACCGTTTAAGTAATTCCATGCCACACAACCACATCCACTCAGACTTCAATGAATTTCTGGTAGCAGTGTGACCAAACCGCAGTCTGCCGGCCACCACTGAACGAAATGGCCAACTGGCAAGTGAGTATACGCATACTGCAATATGCACGTCTCTGCTTAGGGGGTTCCAATAGCAACAGCAATTCATAGACAAATCCACTTTCTGTGCATTGTTTAGGAACGAAGCTATGAAGATGATGATGATGATGAAAGAGAACAAAAACTGAAACACACATTTATATTACATATCCAAAATGCTCTTACTTACACTACAGACATGGTTGGTACAGTCTGGGAACTTTCAAGTATGAATTTAGTGTACAAGGAAGCTAGAAGCACATACATGTTGTATCTTGTATCTTTATTTTCATTTCCATGGATCCTTACTGGCTACCAAAGCCATTGGATACAGAACATGTCACAGTTTACATACATTAGTTCTGAGAACAGAAACTAGTATTCTTACAGCCATATTCATAAAAGGAACCATAATTATATAATTCAATAATTTAATCAACAAGTACAACTCATCAACTAGACATTAATAATTTATTATGCTTTATTTCTTAAAAATATACATACAAGTATCAACTGAAAGTCTTTTATACAATATACCATATAAACAGCGTTACAGAAAGTTTAGTTCATCTTGTATTTAAAATACTCATCCGACATATAAAACGAGTGGGAACTCATGGGTCCCAAATGGCCCATTATCAACATCACAACTGAATCTGGAACATACAATCATTCAAAATTCATTCAAATCCATAAACCTTAATAATTTAAGAAGTTCTGGGAAGACTTCCACATTTAAAATAAAGTACTAAACTTCCAGGTACCGGAAAACATCATAAGACAGAAAAGAGCTGTCAATATTGTACAAGACAGAATGGGCTGAAGAATTCCTGTTCCCTGACCCATATAGAAATGAACATGGCGCTGAAAGAAGAAAATATGGTTTGTACTTACTTTAATTCTGTGCGCTGATTTCAGTGGAGTGAATATCGCGTCAAGGCTGTCAAGTTCTGCCAGCACAAACAATTCATCTGCCATTTTACTAACATTAACCTAATGCGCTCTGTATGTGACATACGACTTAGGCATCACTTCACAGAAATCTGAAGATTCTGTGAAAAAAGCAACCACAAGAACTAAGTGTTTTATAGAAAATAAATCTATAAAATAAATATCAAAATAATGTCTTATAGGGAAGAAGATTCTGAACACCAAACAAAAAGGAGAGAACACAGATGAGGAAGACCAACGTTAAGATGGAGAAAACAAGCCTGTCACCGTTCCCTACTTCTTGAAGAGCGGACACATACCCAAATGGTAAAATATATCCCCATTTGTAGAACCCAAGCGTCCATTACTGTATTAAGATTGCGGTTCTCAAAGCAGCAGTTACTAAGAGTTCTATCTTCTGGGGTATAATGCAGTGTGTGGTCTGTTGAAAATCAAATGATAGTTTTGGGGGAATTGCTTACTACCTGCATCATGCTGGTTTCTTGCTTGGTTTATTCACTAATCTTGAAGACTAAGGCACTGTGTTCCTCCAAAATGTTAAGTGATTTTCAATGGACTACCGGGCATTATGCCCATAAGATAAAACCCATCAATACACTACAGCGTTCACACAAGCCCAGCAGTGGGATCTATTCCGAGCCAAATGAATCCCCCCCTTTCCACTGCTTAAGATCTAAAACGGTCTTCCAAGTAGCCAGACTCCTTCAGGCCTTCAACCCAGAGCTCTGCAGGTGTGGGGCTGATAAATTATTAATAAATTCGCATTAATAAACGAATATTCTCTACATTCAGTTTAGAATGTGAGGCTAGACAAACTATACGTAAGGAATAAACCGAAACACATGATAAATACACATTTATCAGTCATAATTTCGTACTACAGAAAATCTATAGTTATTCATTCTACGTATTAACAGCCGATACTTATTAACACTTGACGTACAAAAATATTTTTTTCACGCTTCAATCACCAGTTCACGCGTGTAACGATAGTTGTTTTCTTGTTCTTGTCTCAACATGACCTCTGTTGGAGGTCAGATGGGATCAGATCACGTTATCCTACATGACCCATACATATACATATTATGATCACTGCTCCAGTCTCTCCTCGGGTACGTACCTTTCTGTAGTTAATATAACGCTAAAATAATAATTAAAATTTTTAAATAACTGAACATTACAAACACATACATCATCAACTACACTTCTCAAAATAACGAATCATTTCCCTCGCTTTCCCCAGATTAACCGCCATCATAAATTAACTATGGCGCTGTAAATCGTAGGATGCTAATATGCATACTCCTGCCATCTGGCAAGTGATACAGAAACTTCGTCACACCTAATATAAGTTACCGTGCAATGCGCACTAAAAGATGGAGTAAGCGGTACTGATAGTGGTCTGTACACTATTCAAGAAGTTTTAACTTCACAATTTTGGTTATGTGTAACAAATCGCCACATTTTTTCTCTGTCACTTTTAATGGTCAATTAGACCAGATTTTTTTTTCTGCTAAAGCACAATACAGTTTACCAGTGCTAAACCACTCATCTTCATGGAACTGAATCCTTCTTTAGAAGCCAGTAGTAGCCCAAAAATATCCCAACATTTTATGGAACTCAGAGGCCCATTTCCTTGTTCGCAAGGGCCCTGCACTGCTCCCTATCCTGAGCCAGATGAGTCCAGTCCATACCACTACATCCTATTTTTCTAAAGTCCATTTTTATATTGTACTCCCACGTAAATCTGGATCTTCTTAGTGGTCTCTACCCTTTTGGTTTTCCCACCAAAATAGTGAAGAGAACTCCTGTTCTAAGTATTTTTACAAGGTGATTAGAATGGTTAAGACTGGTGCTTCCAACCTGGCTTGCACCAGTTGTCCAAGATTCTTGATATGATACTTGCTTTGCTGCCTTGTACAAGACCCATACCACTATTGTTTGTCTGTTCTTCAAAATATAAGTTGTTAAGAATTTTAACTAAAACCATGTATATATATTTCTTGTTTCTCAAGTATGTGCAATATGATGCTGCACTCAATGTTCTTAACATCACTGTCAGACAATTCTGTTTTTGCTCTGAATACTTTTCACAACAAATATTCCACACAGAATGTTTGTTTCATAATTGCATAAATAAAGCAACTGATGATTGTGTGCAAAGGATCCTGAACAAGATTGAACTGGAGCATGTGCATTGGCTTTAATGTGAAAACACAATTTATTTTAAACAACGAGGCATATTTTCATGTGTTAGTCAGTATGCTAATACATTTGCGCTACTGAGCGGTTTATTCCATTTAGTGGGAAACCTGACAGGAAGAGGCTGCTTGGAGCACCTGGGTGTAGATTGGAGGTTCATATTAAAACAGAGCTGAAATAAATAAAGTGGAAGGGTGTGCCCTGGATTAATTTACCCCAGGGTAAAAACCAGTGGTGGGCTCTTGTTAATGCAGTAAGGAATTGTTGGGTTATAAAAGGTGTAGAATTTCTTGCCTAAGTGAAAAACTATTAGCTTCTCAGGAAGGTTTCTGCTTCCTTGAATACCACATTTCAATTGTCTTCATATATGAATCGAAGGCCAGTACATAACAATTCATGAAGATACAGGTGTTTACCCACACAATCAGATATGTCACAAAATTAAAATTATTGTTTTATCCACCGTGTAAACAATGGTTGATTCCTCGATGTAATAAACTAGTATAAGACTGTTTAAAGCAAACTGCACACTGCAAATTTCTGAAATGCAAATATTACATACAGATACAAAGAATTTCTTATAGGAAATGAGGTAAGTCCATTTATCACAACACAATTCTGGTAATAATAAACATATTACTTTGATATGCCTGTCGATAAGGGGAATGGGCAATTAGGGTATTAACTTCTGATTTATACAGGTCATCTAGTATTTGTAGGGCAGTGGAGATTTAGGAGGTTATGGTAGGCTGGGCATATAGCATGGATTGAGGAAATAGAAATGTATACCAAATACACAATCTTGATGGGGAAACTTTTTGAAAAGTGGGCACTTGGAAGCGTGAGAAGGATATGGGAGGATAACATTAAGGTGGATTTTAGGCACACCAGGGATGGAAGACAATGAAATTGTCACAGGATCATGACCAGCAGCTGGATCTTTAGTATGTGTTATCAGAGAGTTCATTATCTCTGGGTTTGAGGACCATAGCAGGGAATACATACTGAAGCTCATTCCCTGTACAGCACATGAGTCTCAGCAGTGTCAGACACAGAAGAGCAGAGGAAGACACTGTCCCAATCGCCACAGACCAGCAGGTTCAGGAGAAGCTCTTGGCCCACTTCACTAGTCTACAGTCATAACATTCAAATCACACACAGAAGTCTCCAGTATGAGACCCAAGGATTCTGGGCACATGCGCTGAAAGTACAGAACAGACAAAATATAATGCAACAGATGAATGGTACAACTGCTCAGAGCTGAAGATCAGCTCACCTGACAGGCTACAACTTGTTCCTGAAATTCACTATTTACTGATTGACCTTTTATGCTATGTAACAATTGTCAGGGTTGTCAGTGTCATAGCTAATTCCTTGTTACATGAGTAGCATTAAGCCCATTGAATTTCAACAGGATTTTGTTAAAAAACAGACATCATCAAAGATGACTAACCTTAATTAGTTCAAAATGTCTGAAAAGACGGGTATAAGTACTTTAAGATATTAAACTCTACAGAATATTCACAAAGAGATGCCTCTGCCTAGAGGAGTGGACACAGCAATACTGACCCAACCATAAGATCCACTGTCATCATCTTCTGCTACTATATGTAACTGTTCTCTGACAAATATAAAAACAGAGTAACAAGAGAAGAACAAGTTTTAGCTTCTTACACATAAGGATCAATTATGAACTTATGCTACATATCCCCCTCGTTGGTGTCTCCATCTTATCGTGGTGAGGGGGTTTGAGTATTCCAAGGACCCTGAGAGCTATACCAGCGGTAGCGTAGCTACTGGCAGGGCCTCCCTTCCTGGACAGGTCAAAGGGTAGGCACCAGACGAAGAGAGACACCAAAAACTGATGCCGGAAGCAGCGTCATCAACAGCGACTTGAAGCACAGAGCAAATGATGTTCGAGATGGTTCAAGTTTGTATAGCAACAGGTGTGACCAGAGTGATTTGAACAGCTGTTGTACTGCGATGTGGAAAGCAAATGGAAAAACTACCACATTATCACTTTTCCTAGATAGTCTCTTTCAAAAAACAGAGACCCCATGTATGCGAACCAGAAGACGAGGAAGAAGACCTAAGAAGATGCTGGATGACCTTGGGGAAAGGAGAAAGCTTGTGATTGCATTAAGTTGAGGAACTGTTTTGGAAGAGACTGTGGACCTGTTGTCTGACAGATTACTGATGAATGCATGCTACATATGTAGTATATGTAATGTTTGCTCTAGTGTCTTGAAGATACACTGTCCATCCAAGATAATATTTTACACAGGTGGTCAGATGTTGGCTTCTCACTGTGGAATGTTGGATTGAATCACAGATGACTTAATGCGATGTTCATGGCGGCACTGGACACAGTAGATCTTTTTCCAAGTGACTTCAGTGTTCCACTGTTGCTTTACATTCCGCCACTGATCCACACTCAACCATCTCTACACCCTAAGTGTGCGACAACCCTGACCAGGCAGCAAATTATCACACTCTCCATCTTTAAGGTGAGGGCTTCATCTCCAACCTGTCCCTTCATCAGTTATGTGTTATGGAGTAAGCAACTTAAGTATTTTCATAAAGAAGAAGCTATAGAAAATCACAGATCTGGTGTGTAATGCTGTAGCTGTAAGCCAACAAGAACTGAAATATTTCTTGTGTGTTAGCATGACTGAGGGGGAGTATTTTCACCAGGAGAAACACTGTTATGTAGGAGTGCTGTGACACACCTCACATGACCTGCACTCAGTCTGATACCTTACTATACAAAGCCTGTATTTGTGTGCTGTCTTATGGTCCTTTGTTTGACCCATCTTGACATCTCAGTAATAAATGGCCTTAGTATGTCTGCTCTCAGATTTTCACAAATTTAACACACCTTCTCCTTATAGGTAAGTTTAACTACCAAGTCCTCCAAAAAGCACAATAGACCACTGAAGGTCACAATGCTAGGGCCAGTTTTATGGCTCACCCCTCTTACTCAAGTCCTCCAAAACTTGTCATGCAGAATTTCAAGTTTATATTTAATATAAGAAACATGAGTTAATGAATAATATAATATATTTCCAATACAGAACAAATTCTGTTTGAACCAAAGGCAGTGGAAGCTTGATCTCGTTGGTGACATCCATGCAAGGACAATTGTTTCATAAAACTGTAACCAGAGGAATGCAATTGGATCTTGGCAAAGTGAAAGTTTAAATTTGACAACCTAAGCCAATGCTCAGATTAGCACATGTAAAGTCATTATCAGGAACTATGAGCAAAATCACCAGAAACCGAGGCAGGTCAATTGGTATGTCAGCAATAGCTCAGTATATTGTAATACAGGCCACTTTTCCTGAGTATGATGTCTCATGGTTTCCTTCAGGCCTGACTACAATCAGAAGCTGACTACAGGATGCATTCTACATGATTATAGACTCTATTATGGGTCAATGTCACTGAAAACTGAAACTACCCAAGAACATTTGGTGGAAATATTCCATACTGAATGCTCATGGAATCTGTGAAAATGTAAGCTAAGTGTAATTATGGATCGATTTGGCTCGATGTTAGGTTTATGACAACTCTTGTTGCAGGGAGTCTCCCGTGCCAAATTTTAAACAAATGTGTTCAACAGCTTAGATGTTGACAGACAGATGGACAGACATGAACTGCACTTGAGGCATTCTGTTTCTACTGTGTAGTTTTAAGAGTTGTGTAGAGATATCAGCATTATCTTTTAAATCACAAAATAGATATACCAACTTACAAACCTGCAATGTCCCCCGCCATGTTGGATCAAATGCACACTCTGTGGACAAACGCTTCAAAGGTGTCCCACATGAAGCCAACTTTGTGGCTGACCTTGGTGAATTTGACAAGCTGGAACGCTCTTCTTATGTTGGTGTCTCCTTTCTTGGCTGCTTCCTGTGCTTGCTCCTTCACCTTGATGATGGAGGCAGCATGATCCTCCAGAACACTTCTGCCAGACAGCACGACATCACATCACAGGCGATAGTGCACCTCTGTATTGTAGGGGCAGCCAAATTCTATGCCTGCCTTGTCAAAATATATTTGGAATGTTGAAATAAACATGAAACCATTTAAACCACACACTTAAAAGGCAATGAACAGATGTGTTATGAAATAGTGGAGTCAGTTTTGACTGAAATCTGGAAATACACAAACAGAGCAGTAATTGAAATGCTTAGAGGAATGCTTGGAACATTATGCTTAATTTTTTTAATATTTCTTAAAGCTTCAAGTTCTGTTTTGTTCTTAAGCAAGAGTTAACATTATATGTTGGGTAGAGTTTTCCTTGTACTTAATCAAGCACTATGCCATGAAGACGTATGGTGGACTGGAGGTATAACTCCATGCGTTCTTGACGTCTGCTCTTCACATCCCAGAAGTTTTGGGGTAGGATAAGCTCCAGAGCCGGTATGGACACTGCGGAAGAGAGAAGACTCCATTGTTTCTCTCGGGAATCGATTCCTTGGTCGTCTGGTCCATAGTCTACTTATAAATCATATATTGACTGAGCTATCCCAGCTCCGAGGGAGTTACTCTTGAATATCATGTTATAATAGTTAAGAGGTTTAGCCTGTTCTTTTGGCTAAACACTTCACAATAAAAGTGTCTGGGAAGAGCAGAGGTAAATACCCACACATTCTCAACTTCAGTTACCTTTGACACTAGATGACAGACACCGAGTGCTGGGATTCATGCTCCGGCCGCTTTGTTCCCATTAGATAGGAGGGCAAACAGGCTCCAGTACCAGCCTGGACATCTTGGTGACGAGAGAAGCACTGACCCTGCCGGGAAACGAACCTCGGCCAGCACGAAGCCACTCCACTGACCGAAATTCTCAGGGAACTAGAAAATCAAAACATAAACCACTGAACAAAATGTATATGTAATGGCAATATACAGAATATAACTGTAAAAGAGAGAAAGCATAGCAGAAGAGTAGGTGAAAGTGGCAAGTTGCAGGAGACGAGACGCTATGAGACTGGGGAGAACGCGCATCTTTCTGTTAGGAGGTTCCCATGCTTAACCCACCCGCCAGTCTGATCAGGGCAATACGAGAGCCAGGATATTGATTTGTTGTTATAAACAGTGGCTTGAGACAGGGCCCGAGGATTTTTGACCTTCTGAATGCTGTACTTTTCTGTTTTCTTCATCTTACAGCGAACCTAACAGAGAACACCCAGTGAGACTATGAAGTTCACTCCGTGCTCTTGCCAGTGTGTGCGGTAGCCACGGCTGTTGAAGGGACGTGCGAGTGTTGCGGTAGAGTTCAAGTCCTCATTCCCAGTTTCTGACCACATGGACAAACCCTGCGTGCAAACCTCTGAGCTGTGCTCCGAGAGACGCAGAAACTGCACGTATACAAGTGACAGTAACGTAGCGAACTGTATGGCGACGGGCAAGAGACGCTACTACAGGGGACCGGCCGTCGCGTCTCCGTGCCGCAAGCAACTTGCATTCTGCTCTCTATGTTCTGAAATGAGGGCGTCTACCCGCATCTGCCAACACCTTCATACTCCCTAACTGATCACAAGGTATGCATACATTTTGGAACAGGATCAGGGTTCGAGCACACAGGGCAGCCTGCAGCCTGCTGTAGGCCTATAACGATAGGCAGGGACCACATAAGGGTTTCTACACACTTCCTCTAGAGCAGGAGAAAGCCTGCAGCCTACCGTAGGCTTATGACGGTAGGCAGGGACAACATCTGGGTTTCTACACACTTCCTCTAGAGCAGGAGAAAGCCTGCAGCTTGCTGTAGGCCTGTAACGATAGGCAGGGACCACATCTGGGTTTCTACACACTTCCTCTAGAGCAGGAGAAGGCCTGCAGCCTGCTGTAGGCCTGTAACAGTAGGCAGGGACCACATCAGGGTTTCTACACACTTCCTCTAGAGCAGGAGAAGGCCTGCAGCCTGCTGTAGGCCTGTAACTGTAGGCAGGGACCACATCAGGGTTTCTACACACTTCCTCTAGAGCAGGAGAAAGCCTGCAGCCTGCTGTAGGCCTGTAACTGTAGGCAGGGACCACATCAGGGTTTCTACACACTTCCTCTAGAGCAGGAGAAAGCCTGCAGCCTACTGTAGGCCTATAATGGTAGGCAGGGACAACATCAGGGTTTCTACACACTTCCTCTAGAGCAGGAGGCGGCCTTCAGCCTACTGTAGGCCTGTAACGGTAGGCAGGGACCACATCATGGTTTCTACACACTTCCTCTAGAGCAGGAGAAAGCCTGCAGCCTACTGTAGGCCTGTAACGGTAGGCAGGGACCACATCATGGTTTCTACACACTTCCTCTAGAGCAGGAGAAAGCCTGCAGCCTACTGTAGGTCTGTAACGATAGGCAGGGACAACATCAGGGCTTCTACACACTTCCACTAGAGCAGGAGAAAGCCTGCAGCCTACTATAGGCCTGCAACGATAGGCAGGACCAACATCAAGGTTTCTACACACTTCCTCTAGAGCAGGAGGCGGCCTGCAGCCTGCTGTAGGCCTGTAACGATAGGCAGGGACCACATCAGGGTTTCTACACATTTTCTCTAGAGCAGGAGAAAGCCTGCAGCCTACTGTAGGCCTATAACGGTAGGTAGGGACCACATCAGGGTTTCTACACTTCCTATAGAACAGGAGAAAGCCTGCAGCCTACCGTAGGCCTGTAACGGTAGGCAGGGACAACATCAGGGTTTCTACACACTTCCTCTAGAGCATGAGAAAGCCTGTGGCCTGCTGTAGGCCAGTAACGGTAGACAGGGACCACATCTACACTTCCTATAGAGCAGGAGAAAGCCTGCAGCTTACTGTAGGCCTGTAGCGGTAGGCAGGGACAACATCAGGGTTTTACACACTTCCTCTAGAGCAGGAGAAAGCCTGTGGCCTGCTGTAGGCCTGTAACGGTAGACAGGGACCACATCAGGGTTTCTACACTTCCTATAGAGCAGGAGAAAGCCTGCAGCCTACTGTAGGCCTACTTACGCTTGACTGGGTCTTCCTGTTCTGCTTGAAGCAATCAATGTCCACGAACTCGTGATTGGTTTCGAGTAGGGAGGCCGAACATGCGGGGTTCTCTCCCTCACATCACCCAACTACCCTTATTTGCCATGCTCAGTTCACCCTACAGGGCTGTTGAGATGAACCATGCAAACAGGACAGAAAAAAAAACCGAAATTGAGAACTGAGAAAGTTGTGACGCGTTACATTACAGTTCTCAGGCGCAAGCGCAGTCGCATTTTCAGGCCACGCCGAACGTCGCAGTTTTGCGTTACCTCTTCCAATTTTCCCCGGAGATCGCCTGTTCTGAACGAAACTCTTCGTGACTCTCAGAGCCCCTCGAACAGAACGCCTGCAAGTTCCCTGAAATTGGCCACAACCGCTTTTGTGATAGGTCAGCCGACATAGCAACTGTCTAGGGGCTGAATAGCCCAGTAATCGGGGTTCGATTCCCTTCATGGATAAAAGACTTTTCTCCGCTGCGTCCAGGTTGGCCCTGGGGCCTATCCAGCCTACTATAGAATGGGTACAGGGGCTCTGTCCCGGGAGTAAAGCGGTTGAAACGTGAAGCCGAGCGCTCATCTCCATTAGCGTAGATGTTAATAATGCGTGGAGCTACACCTCCACGTCTTTTACGTCATGATCTTGAGGCAGTTAGTTAAGTACAAGTACAGCTTCATTTGTTACCGTTTCCTTCCACATCCCATTGGATTCATAATTCACTAATCAAAATGGGCGTCAATCTTCCTTGGGTAAAGGGCTGCCGGCGCGTAAAGCTGATAACCTTGCCGCCATCCGTGAGTCGATTGTCTAGAAAATGTGGAAGCCTCGACGACTCACAACCCTGTTACAGGGATAGATTTACGCTTTTTGTTTGCTTTCAGAAATCCTGTTTTATGCAGACTAATTAAGGCCATATCTCCAAAGAACTGTTTTTGTTTCCACACTAAAGGTTCAAAATAAAAATGTCGCTAAGCGCATTACCAAATATCGAATATTGTGGCGTCTATTTTGAGCGTGACCTAGATCTGCTAACCGATTTGGTGTTTTCGTAATTTGTCCGATACCTAGCCAATGTTAGGCAAATGTGTTCTATTACGCTGATGGTAGCCGAGATGCACACACATCTCACTTGCCATTTAGGGATATAGGCCAACTTCGGCAGCTCATCTGATGACTTGTCCTCTACAAACACGTAACTGCCTACCGCGAAGCTAGGAAAGAACATTGAAAGATATTGCAAAATGTTCCTCGTACTCTTACAAATATGTACGGGAGCCACAGCTGTCGAAGCGCTGTTCAAGTGCCGTAGTAGATATTTTCGACTCCTCATTCCCAGTTTTTTAACTACATGAATATATTTTAATATCTTACTTTGATCATATTTCCTTGTTTTTACTTTCTCGCTAACAACCTACGTGCTGTGACGCTGACGCAAAAGCAACCATATTCCAGGTTAATAACGGGCGCTTCCCTCTGTAACGTTCAGAGAAATGCATTTCAGGACGAAGGAACGGACAATGCTGAACACGTGATTCCCGTTGTACTGTGTGTCTAGTTTACTGATTGTTATCCTGGCAACGACTGCGGGCCAGGATACGCAAGATCCTACTATGCAGGAGCAGGATGGGCAAACAGGAGCCTGTGCCTCACGCCCTCCCTGCGTCTGCCTTCGTCGCGAGCGGGAAAGGAGAAAGAAACAAATTGCATTTGGCGCTGGTTTAAAAATCACCCAAACTTCAGACCCCCTCCCCTCCCCTAGTAACGTGGCACTGATTCTACACAGGAATCGGCAGCCATCCTTGTCGTCTCGACGCCCGGCGTCGTCGAGTGTTGGTTCCTCAATCGCGATTCTGTTTTCTTTCGTATCAGCGATGTTGATTTTTGTTTTACGTTTACTTCTGTTTCCTGCGTGGTTCGTTCGTTATATTAGGGTCTACATGTTGCAGACGCGTTGCGGATCTGGTTCATTTTTATGTGAGAACAAACAGGAGTACCCGTTCTTCGCCCGGGATACAGTGACTTTCCTTCTCGGCTTCACAGTATATAGCAGCTAAAATATTAAGGAAGGAACTGCAATCAAATGAAATTAGAATTTACTCATGTAATTAAACATAAAGATTAGGGCTGAGGATGCATCTAATCGCACCCAGAGTCCCCTTAACAGCCGTGGCTACCGTACATACTATTATTATTATTATTATTATTAGAGGGGGTGGGTTTCCCCATGTACTCAGACCAGTTATTGGTCCATTTCTACTGTCGCCATACCCTACCGGTACTGGTGCGTGCTATCAGCCCCGTTGAGCCAACGAGGTCGGCCCTCGGTACCTGATATTTCCCCGATCTACCAGAGGCATTGGAAACTACTTGGGCGGGAAACATTTTGCCTAATTTTGCTCAGAGGTCTCCTAGAGACATGTCTACGACACGGGACCCACGGCTTAAAGTCCCTCCCGGAGGACTTGTTCCCTGAATTTTTCCGCCCTTAAAAATTCCACGACCTCCGCCGGGTTTGAACCCGCGTACCTTGAGTCATGAGGCAGGGACGTTACCCCTAGACTATGGAGGCCGCTTACATATTGGTAACAGAAAGGAAAAGCTTTCGTAAGACCTTCGAGTGGTGTCTGTTAGGACCGCGGAAGGAGACAGGAAACAGACAGAAACCGTCTGCAGCCCTCCATACTCCAATCCATCAGAATTATGCCTAACCGTTATCCCAAATCACAGAAGAGTTACGTTTCTATACCGGCCTAGAATAGGCAGTGGCAAGCGCCACTTCCGTTTTGAGTTCAGCAGTGAAGAGTACAAGAGTCCTTAGCAGTGCTCTCATATCGAGGGCACGAAGATTGAGGGGGG